CACACACACACACACACACACACACACACACACACACACACACACACGTACCTGTTCTTTTCCATTTCATTGTGCGTAGACCTGTGGAGATAAAAACACGTGAGAAACCACACAAAATAACAAGGCCACTGCTTAAACAGGGTAAGGTTTCCACTTTGTGTGCCATCACAGCGGTCCAAGGCCTTACTGCAGGGGAGGGAGAGAGACAGAAAAGGCTGAGTGGGAGTTTATGAGCAGTCACAACCAGCTGAGGAAAAGGGATTCTAAGAAAAACAGGCTGAGCATTCTGATGCCTACTTGTGCTTAAAATACGTGATGAGGAGGCCAGGTGTAAACATAGTAACAGTAACTAGAAACAGAAGCGAGGGACTATGCCCTTTCAAACTGTGCATGTAGTACTGAGAGAGGCGGGGGAGGGGTACAGTGCTGAAGGTAAATTGAGAGATGGAGGTTTGCTTGCGGCCAGCAGGACTTCTGCATTGCAGTAGCCCCTTTTCACACAGCCTGTTCAAGCCGTTATTCCACCTCACTGTTCTGTAGAAAAGGCTAAACGGAGTTGCTCGGCCGCTGAGCCGGCAGCGGAAAAGGCAAAATATCCACCCACCCCGGGTCCCAAAATAGCCCGTCTGCACCTTCAGCTCTGCTAGGCTCGACACTGTCCCCATTGCATGCCATGGCCAAGAATCTCAGAGGTCCCTCGCACACACCCACACTTTGATTCACCTCAATGTTTGACAACTTACTGTCAGGACTAAGCTTAGAAACAACGTCTTCCAATATTGCAACCTCCGAACAGGAATGGGTGTCATGCCTGTGTCTGTGTGTGTGTGTGGTATCATCTTGTTTCAGCTTTGGGTGCTCTCTAGCTCCCTTGGCCCCTCCCCCTCCGGTCAGCGTGCATTCCTGTGCCGGGCAGACAGCCGCTGGTGACATAACAGCACTAGCAGGGACATGACCCCACTTATTCAGGCTACATTTCAGGCTCTGGGACACGTCTCCATAACCCTACCCCCTATAATGAATGGGTTGCTCTATTTCTATATCAACACATTACTATTAAAGACAGGATAGATGCCCAAAACTACAAAAATAAGACCAAAGGTTGTATGAAAGCCGCAATTCCTTCAGAGAGGGTTCCAAGTCAGCCTGGTTCCTCTGAGGTAATAATAATGAGGTAATAATGAGGTAATAACTCTGAATGACTATTCTAATAATGACTTTGAGTCTTCAAACTCCACCTAGTGTTGGCATTCAATCTTCCCTGACAGCTCCCTGGACATAAACTGGATAACTGAATTGTAGACAACAAGACACTACAACATGAATCTACTATTAACCCGTTCTCCTTTCTGAAGGCTCTCTGTAGCCTCGCCCCACAAGCCTTTAACAACAACAACACAGGGCGGTGAGTACGCAAAGACTCAATTTGCCTGCTCAACATGGATGGCAAGATCACAGTGCACTGTAGCTGCACAGTGTTGTGTGTGTGTGTGTGTGTGTGTGGGGACCTGTGTAATGGAGGAGCTGGTGCTCTCTATCGCTTGCCAACAGTGAGAACCGAGCAGGAAAGACACATGGGGGGTGGAGGAGGTGGGAAGAGAGAGAAAACGCAAGTGGGAGAGAGAGATGAGGGGGATGGAGTCGCCGCTACTACCGACACACACACGACACACACACGTCAGAACCACAGTGACTCCCCTCCCCCACTACTCACACATCCATGCCATGGTTAAACAACACAAACTGGAGGAGCTTGTTCATTCTGGGTTGACTGGTTTCACATATATACACATACATGGCTGCCGGACCTACATTTCACCAAGTCTCAACAGCATCAAGATAACTGATCATGCCTGATCAATTAATGGTCCTCTCTCGTCTGTCAGAAATACATTCAGCCATAGTGCCGGTCTGCCTATTAATGATCAAGAGGCAACTTCACGGCCGACCACATCAAATAATCCGAGCTGACCTTATTAATAACAAGTGTGGCTCAGCTGACTTCGAATAGTAATGAGCAATGGTTGATTTAAAGCTCACAGATGATGAGGGAGTTGCTTAACATAAACTTGTAGTTACACAAATAAAATGGTAAAAGTGCCGATAAGCTGAAAAGATTGAATGGCTTGAGGACAAACCTGCAGCAGCTTGTGGTCTACTTGACATACAGGCCACCTAAGCATGTTGGGACATGTTCTGAGCTGGTTCCCTCCACAAAAAGCCAATGGGATTTTTCCATTGTCCATTTCAGGCATCTCACCAAAAACGTTGACTCATATACAGGTTTTGACTTATTCCTGCTGCACTCAATCGACTAAGCTAACCTCAACGGACTAAATCCTGACCAACAGGCTAAACCAAACATTTGAATAACAACAAGTTCCTTTTAAAAGAGCAGTATTTACACGTGTGTATTTAGACAATGAAATGCAGGTAAGTATTCTGATTTCTTAAATCTTTTGGCAGATGCCTCCTAGATGAAACGATTAGCCGACTAACAATTTTGCTAATCTAGTAATCATTCATTTTACATTCTCTGGTTGTAGCTTCTCCAGTGTGAGGATTCGCTGCTTTTACGTATCAGTGTTTATATCTTCGGGTTTTTGGACAGTTGGTCAAAAACAAGACAATTTGAAGACACTGGGAACCGACAGACGCTATTCACTGTGTTCTTAAAAATGTAATAGACTAAACGATTAATTCAAAAAATTAATCAACTTATTAACCGGTAGCTCGTATGAAGGCATGGAATACTCAAACGTCTGTGTATACCAGTCTTCTAACTTTAGATCTGCCAACAATATAACTGGATATGTACATTGGGTTATGAGGGGTAACAGAAACACAATTTACATGCGTCACATCGTGTACATTGGATACTTGGCCATCCAGAGAACACTTTAGGTGAAGAAGTTCTTCCGACATGCAACTTTATACAGCATGTACAGGCCTGCCATCATAGATAGGGTGTTTACGATGTTGCCCTTGTTTGTACATACTAAGTGATGGAAGCAGTTGTCTGTTGCAGCTAATTCAGCTGGATGTACATTGAGTTACACAAGGTAAGAGGTCTATATAAAAACCTATTCATGCCCTTCTCTCGTGTGAGAGAGGAGTCGCCCCCTGGAGCAGGTCCCCCAATGTCACCGTTCACTTTCATCATCATTAGAACATCTTCTCTATATTAACAGGTCAATGTTTCGATCTCAAGCAAGTCTGAAACTCTTCTTTTTTTTTTGCACCAAATAGCTGTTTAATTGTGGCGTTTTTCATTGTGCATATGCTAATAAATACAGGTGGATACAAACACACTTCAATCACGTAGGTCCTATAGAGTACGGTTCCACTAGTGCTGCCTTCGATCGAGGAGCTTCTTCATCCTCTCCATGAGAAACAATCGATGCGCTCAGAAGCTGTGCATTTCGAAACGAGTTTCGCAAACAAAATTTCCCCAATTGCACAAAAGCCAAACTGCAATCGAATCACGGGAGTGCACATTGATTTGTGGGGGTGTGAATGCAACATAAATCTGTCCCGATATGATTGACTGATAGAATTGTACGTGTGGGGAGTCGTGTCTATTGACCGGAGCTGTCAGGATGCGCTCCCTCGGTGAAATGTCATCTGCGGCCCCCTTGACTGACCCAGTTTGCCTTACTGAGGGGCCCTTTCACTTTAAGACCGACTGATGTTTGCTGCTGTCACTCAAACGCTTTGAAGAAGACAAGGGGTAGTCAAAACAAGGCCATAACCCAATAGATTCCATAACCCAATAGGCGTCATATTACTCTACTTTAAAACTGATCTTGTTTTTACTATGTCTCTTGTTTGCACTATGCTGCTGTAATCCTGTACATTTCCCCACTGCGGGACTAATAAAGGATTATCTTATCTTATCTTATCTTATCTAATTGCAGCACCAAAAAAATAAAATAAAGCAAAACAAAATTACATTAAATGTCCTAATTTATGATTCTGTCACTACAAAGGACAAATTATAAGTGTGCATTGTAAAAATCAAAAACCAGTCCAGTAAACAATGGATTAACGTTGCTGCGCTCAGTGTGGACACACTTGATGGGGGGTATTATGAGCGCCTTGTTGCAGAGCTGAACAATTATACAGTGTGTATACATGTTCTGGCCACAAGGAGCTGATATGCCTCTTTACCTGCTACTTGTGTTTTTCTTGCTTTTGCTTTTCCTTTTCAAGCTTTCCCTCTCTTGGCTGCTGATGAAGGGTGGCATGGAGGCATAGCCGTGTTCGGCTTCTGCAAGCAAACAAACAAACAAACGCACAAACAAACAACATGTTGGTCACGTGTCCAGATATATCTGGCAATACAAAAATATAGCCACGGTGAAAAGAAGCCAAAATAGAACGGCTGCAAAAAGGAGAATTCAGTAGCAATGGCTTGTGTTTAAGTGCACTAATGGATGGAGTCCATGCAGAGTCTTTGCACCGTGTTTTCTCCCCTCAGCCTGGACAATGATGTCATCTTGAACTGGAATAAACCCCACAAGCAAACCACAACAGAGGGAAAGGAGGGGCCTCCATGATAACAAGGTGTCCCTGCACATCTGACTGCATCTGCCACATATGCATTCATTCATTCTTTTTATTCATTTACCAGAGAAAGGAAAAATGCATGACATGTTTGTTTTTTTTGCACATTTTTGCAGATCATCACCCAAAATGTCTGAATATGAATATTTATGAACAACCTATTTTTGGGTCACGTTAGGCGATGCATTCTGCTGTGTCAAAACGTAACTCGAATACTTAATGTAAAAAATGTTTTCAATAAGGGGCAGCAACAGGATTTAAAATAGCTTCAAAATGGCAGGTGCATTAATTAGCATGGATCAGGGGGAAGTGATGTCATTGTCATTTTTCATAAAGAAAACAGAAAACAATACACTTTACCTCGTTCCCTGCGCTCAAGGTACTCGGCTGCTTCGATCAACATCTGCACCATTCCGATCGCCGCCATTTTCAACAATAAAACTGATAATATAACAATCCGATGAGGGATATTCTGTGGTTGTACACAACCTTTAGGTCATAAACCACTGGTCTGCTTCTAAAGCTGGCTTGCTGTTCTGGCAGTTGTTTTTTTTAAAGGTGAGAGCGAACGTTAAAGGGTAACTCCTGCAGTGTATCAAACGGGTTATTTAAAAAACGAATGTCCTAAATACAGCACCAATCAGTTTACACAAAACTAGCCCCCTCCTTAATGTTAAAAAATGGTTCAGGTAACGTCGAGGGTCTGGTGTTAGCTGAGGCTAACACTTCAACAGCTACGGTTGCTTTGGCCTCTTTATTAAGCAAATACTTTGCTAAAAAAAACAACGGCTTTCTATGAAGTTCTTCAAGAAAAAAACGGCTGGTTGAGAAAACGGTTGAGTATTGCTCCGTTTGAAAAACAAAACAAAAAACAAAACAAGTTGGCTAACGTTAGCGCTCGTGACAAGTTGCCAAATTAACGATGAAACCTTCTTGCTAGCTCGTGAACAGATTCGACCAATCGGGGAAAAAAGACCGTTGGCTGTTCAGTTGTCACAGTCTTGCCTGATTGTGGAAATGATAGAAAAAAACGAGCTAACGTTAGTTGTCTTAAAAGTTCAACGGACGATGTCATCCAACCTTATCGGTTCGGGGCTGTGTAGCAGGCTAGTTTTGTGCTGGCTTATCGCTGATCACCCGTAAAAACGTCCTGCTAGCGACTGACATCAACCGAGGAACAAGTGTTTATCAAACTGCTTCAAAAATAGTGGCTTGTTGATCTGGACGACAGCAAACTACTGTACTTCCCCACAAAGCTCCTGTGTTCTGCGATGTGATTGGGTACTGGGCGTAACTTATTGCGCTCCTATTGGGCGGTTACGCTGTCAATCGTCGAGAGGGTCGCGCGCTGACTGCCACTGAGAACCTGGTTCAGCCATTTTGGTCCTTTGATTCCATTGGCGAAAGCACACGGCGGCGGAGCCAAAATGAGCACAGTTTCCGCCTTACACATTCGTGTACCGTGATTGGTTGCTCTCTGATAAGCTCGTTAGCCATTGGCCGCAACGACCACGAGCTAAATTGACAACGCCTGCTTCTAACAGAAGACACGCCCCTCTGCCATGCTGTTTCGCGGTGTATGGCCATGATTGGCTCCCGTGGTGTTGTTTGTCTTTACTCGTGTTCAGCTATTAGCCAGATTCACATGTTATCGTGCTGGTCTGTTGCTTCTCCAATCACAAAGAATGTATCTGCGCAGGCGCACACCCACTGTTTTCCGAATCATATCAGTAAAAGACTGCTTCAAAATGAGACGGATGCCCATTTTAATGCAGGGAAAACAAACCTAGACCTAAACTAAAACAACATGGGATGAGTGTATCTCCTGGAAGATGTCCTTCGTCCATGACAAAATTTGATATTTGGCTTGTAGAGAACACCAAATTAGATTAAATTCGGTGACACCTACCACAAAAAAAAAAAAAAAACATACCAGCAAGCCACACAAGAATGCATAACCAGGTAAAATCTCTTGACTTAGAATACATTAGTCTTCAGATTATCTACTCCAGACTCCATAATACTATGATCACATTCATTCATTTACATATGTGAAATGTTCCTGTACATTATGGCAGATGCAGAATTGCACTTATTTGATTTATTTTTCATAAATCAGGACTGCAGCAACACATTTTTAAAATTATTTTTATTTCAAATAAAACTCCAAACACACACACCTCAAGAACACAAAGCCAACGGCATTGTTACTCCAGTCCATTTTCCGACAAAGCTGAGTATTGGTAGGTGACTAACTTCTTCAAAAAAAAGGAGGAAAGTATATACACAATTGTTGCATAACACAAAACAGGTTTGAAATAACACAATATCATGTGATGGTAGTTGTATATATCAATACAACTACCATGGAGAGGAGAACGGAGCTTCTCGGGTATCAGAATGAGTCGTTGACACTTTCAGGCAATGAAGTCCAGTGGTCTGTTGAACCCACCTTTTCTGTTCATATACTGCCTAAAAAAAAAAAGATATATATATATATATATATATAACAAAACATTACATCACTGTTACCCTCGCAACACTTGCAGATTACATCATCGAGCACCAATGGGAGAGCCGGGATCTCAGCGTAGAAACACCTGCAGAGGTGATTGGCTACAATAACAGTGGATGATGCTCACAGTGAGGGGACTGAGAAGTTGACACTTTAAACTCAGCAACCTGACAGACAACCGAGGTTCAGACAATAACGTCAAAATGATCACTATATAATAGAAACAAGGGCTTGTGAAACAATTTAAAAAAAAAATTAAAAAAAAACTGTCCGTGGCTATAAAAACAGTTCTGTGCAATTAGAAAACATTTTTTTGTTGACGTACCTGTATTTTCTCTTCATGCTCACATTGATAGCAAACGCATTGACTGATCCATCAGTTTTCCTCCCCTGTTTGAAAACATCGTTACTGCTTCACACATACAGAACATCACATATTACAGGTCAAGTTAAATAGTAAAATATGGCTTGTTAAAAAAATTTAGTGGATCATTTGGAAGATAAATATTCCCAAAACTTCTAAATAATCACACAGCTGAATTAGGCTGAGAAAGGACAAAACAACGTGGGTCATACTGTTGGTAAAACAGGAAGTTCTTGAATTGTATTTGACAGATAAAAGTAACGACGAATTTCCATGTATTCCGTAATGTTGAGGCACATTGATGCTCTGAAAAGACATTTCTATTAACAAAGGACAACATCACACGTCTGCAGCTGCTTCACAGTGAAACACTTCCAGCCTGCTGCATGGAGCAACCGGAAGGATTTTACTGTACAGCAGTTGCATATATATATATACCATCAGTGATGTAAATTGAGCATGAAGTTGGTCATCAACGGCTAGCTTGTCTAAATATGGAGCCATGACCTTCCACTGTGAATAGTGACCATTATATAACCAGGAGCTACCTACTCTGATACTGTAAGCATTGTGTTTGTGGGAATTCAGAGCACAACTGGGATGAATTGGTACACCGAGCAGGCCAAGTGAAATCCAACAGCATGCCTATCTTCAGTTCAGCTGTGGAATTAACCTAATTTGAAACAAACTGCACCTCCTTGTGGGTGCACAACATAGGACACCCTTGTTCTATTACCTTGCTGGTCTCAAAGGAACCAAATCCCATCAGTTTCATCATCTCAATTTCCTCTTCTGTTTTGCCCTCCATGTCTTCCGCTGTCGAATTTTGGCAAAAACATTGATGTCATAAGCACAGAAAAAGCTGAATCTACTCCCGAGTTCATGACTAAATAGCAAATAGGGACATATTCATAATAATAATAAAAATAATAATAATACCTGAGATCGTGATGGGCTTCGCTGACTTTTCCTTAGAATCTTTGCGCTCCTCAGAGGGGGAGGAGGAGGAGCGATGGCGTCGGGGGGGAGACCTGCTGAGGGAACACAAATGGCTGTTAAAACGGGCTCAGGGCAGGTTACCACATCTGCACCTTAAAGTGATTAATAGTGTTCATGTTTGGGTAATTCTAGTAAGCTTGCAGATACATGTGCTTCTTCTCCAAAGGGAAAAGTGTACAAAAAAAGAACTCCAAACACTCTGAAAGACGATTACTTTCTATGACAATTCACTTCAGATTGATATTTGGTGACAATATACATAGAATGACTGCAGACATAAGTGTGTGTGTGCATGCATATATATACACTGTACAAAGCAAAGAGTAGAGAGATGGTGTTAACTCACCTTGAACGTCTCCTGTGAGGAGATCGTGAGCGGCTTCTCCGACGCTCTCGATCCCGATCTCGAGAACGAGAGCGTTCCCTTTCCCTTCGCTTCCGCTCACGTTCCCGGGAAGCTGAGCGGGAACGCCGTCTCTCTGCTAGAAAGGAGGAAACCAGATCATGTTAGCATTCAAACTGGGGGATAATATGTGGGCATATTGTCATCCACGTTTTTTAACATTCTTCTCCACACAGTGAATTTGATTATCTTCTTTACTTTGCTGCAGCATGTTTAAACAGGCTACACCTGATACATGTATACATGTCATCAGCAACAGTCCAACTGTATTCTTTCTCAAAGACATAATCTAATTATCTGCCACAAGGCAACAGAATAATTCCTATGTGACTGATATAATATCAGACACTATATTTCCTTCAATCTTTAACTTTTGATTACCGAGTATGCAAGAACACGTTAGCATACAGTTGTTCCTTTATAATTTACATGCAGTCCCTGCTTCACGAGGTGCAGTTCAACCAGTACTCTGTAAAACGCTTGCTGTTGAGAAAGTTGTAACAAGAGTCTTGCTCCTCATGCTGAACACCATCAAACTATTTGATATGAAACCTGTAAAATGTGTGGACTCTCACTATTAGCGTTACTGGTCTTTGATGTCAGAGATAAGATGATATAAATCTGAGTTGCAGAAATAAGGTTTATTGATTGAACAGATCAATATACCCAATATCTTAACACGTGTATTGGCCTATAGGTCAAAAAGGTTAAGCTCTTCAGGCTCTGGGACTATGTTGTTAAACACTTCATATACTCAAACATAGTTTAATAATCAAACACAAAACCAGTCAAATATCACTGCCAGCTTCGGAAACGCATCAAACCTACAATGAATTGAGCAAACATCTAGCGTTAGAACTTTCTGTGTAACGTCTGTTAACGTAGGAAGGCGACAATGACGCAATGAATCACATGTTATGGTGTAAAGTCGTCAATGAAAGACAATAGGTTAACTATTATATTCATATAAATGTTATCTTTTTTCCCCAGTGTAAATTACAAACTGCGTAACAGGAGCTGAAGCAGCCAGCTGACCCCGTACGTAGTGTTAACGTTAGCTACATTAGCTAGCTTACGTTTAGCTTCTTACCTCGTCTTGGAGGAGATCGACTCCGGCTTCTTCCCATTTTACCAATAAATAAAATGTCAACTCAATGTAGTAGTGCAAACAACACAATTTGTGCCGCAAAATATATGAATTTCGTTGGATTAATGGCTGCTTCCTAAAGTCAGGCTCTTTTGTTGTCGCTTCTGGTCACGAGCTTCCGGTGACGTTTCTACAGAAGAGCGCCCGCTAGCGGCGCGGAGGAGAGTTAGTGTTTCACCTCTGTTGACAACATCGATGCGAATTAGCACCACCTATAGGTCTGGACTGGGACTTGGGATGGCTATAATGCTTAGTACTTAGACTGATCATTTATAGAAGTGTAAATACAGAAACAAATGTTTTATGTTAATTAAAAAAATATTGTAATTAATCGTTAAAATGAATGCGGTAGTAACGGAACCTGGAACGGAAGGACTTCAAAGTACAAAAAGACATGAACTAGATGTCCAGTTGATTTTAAATCAAACTTGATCTTTAATGACTGATACATGGTAACCTTGCAACACTCACTTATACATTCTAATATAAAATAAATTAAAACCATGAGCAAACATCACACATCAGCATTTTGATAACAGCTACTGGTTAAAACGGAAAGTAATTACAACTGTTAAGAGGGCATTTTGCACACATACATTTAAAAGAAAATGAGAAAATCGGAATGTTTAGTACCATTAGTATCTTCTATTACTGAGTTTCACACTGCATTGGCAAGCAACAAATTGTTTTGGGTAATAGAGGCATTGATAGCGACTTGTGTTTTGTTGCGAGCCAGCACATTTTCCCTGCGTTCTCTTCCCTTGTACTTCCCTGCTGTAATAACGTCAATAGGCTGATAGTTTTACACAGAACCATCATTCAGAAGAGCACAATAAGTATTTATCAGTATATTTCTACACGTACTGCACCTGTGCTCACATAGCAAACCTGCAACATCGATCTGATAATGAGAACCAAATCATGACTAGAAGATGCCTGTGGTGATGAACAAAAGCAACATATTAGAATGTCAATATACACATGTCAAGTGCCTATACGTGGATAAGGGGTGCATACTTCAAGGGGGCTTCAATTTCCACCATGTCTTGCAAAGTTGTGGATAAAATAAAAAAAGGAAAAAAATAAATTATGAGAGGCAAGTGCACAAGATCACACTCGTAATCCCAGTTGCAGAGAGGAACATGTTTGAATGGCTATACAGTGAAGTTAAGTAATGGTTTGATAGCACAGCAGGTGAAAATAAGTTGCAAGACTTTGTGTGAGTGTGTGTGTGTGTGTGTGTGTGTGTGTGTGTGTGTGTGGGTGTGTGTGTGTGTGTGTGTGTGTGCGTGTGTGTGTGAGAGAGACAAGAAGCGTTAAAATGTTGGTTTGTATCCGACCTGGGTCAAATAGTTTGTGAAATTAATTGTCAGTGTTTTCTAAGATGAATCACCACTTGGATCAAATCAGTGAGTACCAGTGTTACAGTAAAGTATTTGTAAGTCAATTTAGTACACCTTTAGTGTCTGTGAATGACATCTTAACCGACTGTGTTTGAATACATCTGATGTGGATAAATCATCTGCTACTCCGTCATACACTAAGAAATGTTTCACAGTAGTATTTCACCAAGGTCAGGTGTGTCTGAACGCCTCAGGTCTCAGCTTTCTCCTTCTGCTTCTTGCTCTTTTTCAGGAACGACGGCGGCTTGAACTTCTTCTTCTTCTTGGTTGGGGACTTGGAAGGTGAGCCCTCCGGGGTGCCGCTTTGTAGCTTTGGGGTCGGAGCGGCGGGTGGGGAGGAGGTGTCGTTGGTTGAAAGAGCCTTCATCCCTTTCTCGAGTTCCTCTGTCATCTGCTTCTCCTCTTCGCTTCCATTCTGTATGGCTGGAGAGTCGGTCTTTGCCTCTTCTGCTCCAAAAAAAGAGAAGCAAAACATTGAATATTCAGCAACCAGACAGAGAGCCTTAAGATGGGCGGAGCTGCAAAGCTACATGCTAGACATAACACTGCAGATGAACATGCTTGCTTAATGAGAAGAGAGTTGTCGTTCTCTGTACTTACTAGTGAGACAAGACCAAAGCACCAGCAGAGTGCCCTGTGAGTGAGTGTGGAGCAACACAGAAAAGGACAGACAGACAGAGGGAGAGAGTACAACTGATACAGTAGACACAGAGACAGATGGGCTGAAATGTGGCAAATGTAAATCAAACAGAAACAGCTAAGGCAACAGACTTGAACCACACTAATAACAGAAATAATGTCTGCATGTGCATTTACTTTTAATGCTGTCTGACTGTTAGAGCCAAGTGTACCAGAGCCATTATTATTAATGCTATACGTTTCTTTCATGAGAAACATAAATTAAAACACGTTACACCGTCAGGTATGGAAACCCTCACCACTGCTGACTCGGCAGTTGCACTATTCACAGTCAGTCACAGCGGTGGCTGTGGTTCAGGAGGTTTACGACCTGCAGTTTTTGTTCTCCTGCTCCTCCAGTTATTTTTACCTATTGTAACTATAATGCTGGTGAGTGATAAATGGTATAACTACCTTTAAATTGGGCTTTTTTTGTGTTTTTAAAGCGCTTTTTTCAACTGTGCGTTTTTTGTATTTGAAGTTGTAGCCTAAAATTAAATGGAAAACAAATTCAGATTCAAAAGTTAAAGATATTTGTTAAGTGAACTTAGTTTGATTTTTTGTTACCATACATCAACATGTCTTTTGACAAGAACAGCTCACTTTAATGTCTATATTTTTATAGAATGCATATGGAGAGGTGTAGTGAGTATTTGAAGCATGCGAGTGCAGAAGCAGCTTTGGATGAGTCCATTTGAGACTTGAAGCAGGCTGCTGGTCAGATACGCAGCACGCAAAGCAAGCAGGGCAGACAGTCAGCGCTCTGTCAAGCCTCACCTGAGGTAGGAGGGGGGCTGGGCGGAGGGCCCTTTGTGGGGGAGGTAGTGGGGGGAGACTCCTTGTCATTTGCTACCTCCTCCCCTACTTGCACAAACAAACACAAAGACACACAGTGAGGGACAGTGAGGGTTCAGCTGTGCAGGAACTTAGTGTTGGGAACACAGTTTACATGGCAGTCACACAGGAAATCAAGTTTGCTAAAGGGTGCTGTGTTTAGTATCTGTCATTTTCAAACATTTTGTGTCATGCAACAGGAATTCTGTAGGAAATGTGCTGCATCTTTAACAGTTAAAAACAGGGGAGGGTGAAAGCAGAGCAAAAGATTTCACAGTTTCTTACAACGAAAGATGGAATAAGTGAAAACCTGGTCGAAATTTTTATTTAAAACTGAAAGTCTATATTGGCAGTTGGTATGTTACACACAGCGCCTTGAAGGTTAGAGGAAAATGTGCAATGCATTAGCGAAGATGAGGGGTAGCATAATAAGCCGTCTGTATTATATAGACAAAAGTATGAAGACTGAAGAATTTGAAATTGAAAGAAAAATGAAAGATTTACGAGAAAATAATTCTCTGAGATTATAAAGCCTTATTCTTCGAGATAAAAACGAATCAAATGATACTTCGCAATCGGATTTAGTAAAGATTTTAGTCCAAAAAAAAAATCACCATATTATCAAGTATCCGGACTCTGAAGAGACATTGTCGTGAATTTAGGTTTTTTTCTAGGAATACCCCCCTCTCCCCCGGCTTCGTAATTATTAAATATTTTCCCGACAATGCCTTTAATACACCAGCGTACATACAGGTGTAATGTTTACATACCTAGCCATATAAAACATATGGAAATAACGTTATTCGTAACGTTACGAATAGCTAAATTCTAAATAATAGCCTTTTGGACAAATGTAGCTCTAACCTAAGAATAAAGAGACATCTGCTGTATACAATGACTATTATAGTACTGTAACTGTATGGTTAAGAATCTAAATAGAGTTACTGTAGTCAGCTGAGTTTAGCTGAATGAATCATACCGTTGGTCCCTCCATCCTGTTTCTTCTGCACCTCCTTGCGGTACTCCTCCAGCTCCTGGTCTGTCAGCTGGTTGAAGGGGTTGGGAGGTTCTGGCTCTGGTGGGACATTAGGTGAGCTGACTGGAGACTAAGAGACAAGTAAGAGACAGAAATCACAACTTTTAATGCTGCAGATGAAGAGGAGGACTTAGAGAGGGAAAAAGTCAGAAGTTACACGAGCAGTTTACCGGAGGGCTGTCAACTGTTATAACGCCGGCGAGGACTTGAGACTGTGGTCCTGCTGTCTTCATGTCCTGACGATTCTGCTGTCGGATCTGAGGAATATAAAATAATTGTATAACATTTTTGATTCATGTGACACTATGCAGACTACAAATATAGGAATTGTGTGAGACAGAAAAGGCCAAAAGCAAGAAGGTACCTTGTTTCGTGTCTCAATCACCTCTCGAGGGTTGGTGAAAAGAGGCACAAACTGGTTTTGGTTCTCCATCTTGATGGCTGTGCTGCCGGCTTGAGTCACCTCTTCTGACTTCAACCACTAAAGGAAAGACAGCCAACATCAAATAATATCTCACAATCCACCTATCAGATCCCTTGTTATCACACCAGATCTGTTTATATTTAACATAGTCAGTCTACAGAAGTTCTGCTTTTTAATAAAGATCTTTAAAAACTCCTCTTGATGGAGTATATAACTATGTAAATGAGGTATGATCAAATGTATGAGAGGAGTAAAAATATTTGTTATTGTAATCCTGTTTTTATTTATTTTCTTCCTTCCTGGTGCTTTTTCTTTATAGTATTTCTTGTTCTTCTCTTTTAGATATTTAAAAAATATTTATGTCTGTTTGTAAATAGTTTGCAAGCATACACTGCCGTCTTTAATTTCAACCTTAGTTCGGTATGTTTTACAAGCTCTCAGGGTTCTTTTCAACCCACCTGTGTCATTTTTTATCTTTTCTTTTTGTTTTGTTTTATTATTTGAACAAATAACTAACAAAAAATACCAAACTTCAAAACAAAAATAAGCCCTTTACGATTGAATACGTCCTAAAAAGTAGAGGATCTCGCACCACGTGTGTTATTTAGTCACTTTCTTCCTTAAAAAAGTACTCTATCCCCTAAAAACAATGATGTTTTTAATCAAGCAGCTTTGATAATGTGGATGTTTGTCCACCAGAGGGAAGACTCTGCACTGCAGCAGTCATCACAGGGCAGTGGACTTTCCTCTGCAATGCAGAGAAGAGAGAGAGGAGGGTGGAATGGACTGAGGAGGAGACGAAACAGAAAGGGAGAGCCAAGCTCCTCCCACTGATGTAAGACAATTAACCTCATATTGTTTTTGACTCTAAAACAACTCATCACTGCAGCTCTGCTTCATCTTTTCTCCAAGGGTCATAGAGATAAAAACAACATCCATGTGAATCAGAGCTGGGTACAGAAATACCCTTGGTTGAATGCACATCACATATTTATTTTGAAATCATCAGATAGATGGTGAGTTAACTGCTCTCTTTCTGTGCCTGTTACCTCCTTGCATTAGTCATCCTCTTAAACGCACCAGCCTCAAGGCTTTTGTTCCTTCCCTCCTCACTGCTCACTTTATTCTCCCTCTTTGTTCTGATCCCTCTGCACTCCATACTTTTTTATACCTACAGACAGTCTACCCTCCCTCTCTGAGCAGCAGACATTAGACAATGGCCACAATGTAGCAGAGTCTGCACAATGTTGTGGATTCTGCAATGACTAAGTATTGCAGATAATGCACGTTTCTGGACTGCAGCTGGGACCATGAAACTTTCCTGAGAAGGATTCCTGAACTGCTTCTATAGTGTGACTGGTTCAATAAATAAAAAGTATTGATTCCCGGAGCCTCACAGTGCTGCGCTGGTATCCCGGGCTAGCTTGCTCCTGGCTGACTTTTTGGTAGGAGTTGGGGGTGTTGAGCCATCGAGTCCTCTCCTGCTGCTGGCGCTGAGCAAAAGGGTGCTGCCTCAGAGCCGGGTGGACTCCGTCGTCATCAATCTGGTGGAAAGCCGTGGCGGTCGCGGGCACCTCCACCTCCCTCCGTGTCCGCGACCGCTCCAGCAGCACAGGGAAGCGGTAGGCGTAGCCTGTACGGTAGCCCTGAAAAAACAACAGAAGAGAGAAGCTTCAATTCACCGTTTGGTGGACAGAATGGTGCAGAAAGCCGGGACCTTCCCAATGGTCCTATGGCACACTTCTGCTGCATCATGTCATGTCAAACTGCAATCAATCACGAGATAACAGCACTGACTTGCAATATTTCAGTCCTTATTGGATCAGAGCCAGACCTGCTGTGTCATTGCTCTAATAGGAATAACAATTTTGGGAAATTTCTTGCAACGAGATCTACCATATATATACTGTATATTTGGCCATATATAAATATATATATTACCTTAAATTTTAAGGTAGTTTTAAAGTTTGGTGCAACATGATATAAAGTTAAAACATGATTTTGTCTGGTTTAAAATAAATCCATGTTGGTGCAACCCAGTCCAAATTAAAAAGTGGATTTTATTACCTTCAGACAGCAACGCTAGCTGTTTCCCCCCGTTTCCAGTCTTTGTGCTAAGCTAGGCTAACTGATTGCTTGCTGGCTTTATATTCAATGGACAGATATGAGAAGGGTGTCAATCTTGTCATGCAACTCAAACCTTTAACTGATGTCTGGGATTGTGTGACCAGAGAGAGTAACATTTAGTACGAAAGTCTTACTATGTTTAGCTTCCAGTTCTTCAGTAGCCTCTGTGTAATAAAGAGTCTGTGGTTTGTAGTTGCTGTTAAGTTATTGCTGATGCAAACTGAACATTTCATGCTGCTTCTAAACATCGATAGTTTTCCATCAGCAAACCACAGGAAGGCTTTTATGCTTCTATTGTGGAGCAGCTACAGGAAACGGAGGAATAGTTGTCGCAGCACTTATGCTGCGTTCACATGATAAACGAAAGACGGTAGAAACAGTACAGATTCCCACCAGCAGTCAATTGTGTCGTCAGACTACTCAAGGGGGTCGCGAGAGGGTTAAAAATACTGTGCACTGATCATATAACACAATATCCATTCAGTGAGGGATGAATTACCTTGAAGGACTTTAGCAAGCTAGTTTTCTCATTCAGTTCTGACTTGGATTTTACATGTGTGGTTAGTAAATACAGTAACCTCCTTATAATATGAACGTGGCATTGTATCCAACTGTTAATGTTCAGTCAAAGTTATTCTACACAGCAAGATATGGACATTTGTTATGTCGTTTTTTAAATATTGCATAGGAGGAGTGGTTAAAGAAGCAGCAGCCACAGTTAGCTGGTTAGATGAAGAGCTGCCGCTGACAGACCTGCTATCAATCAGCAAACCTCCCACACACATCAAGGTAAAAATAAACATCTTAAAAAGGGGTAATCTAGCAAATTAGTATTGCACTGCTACAAAATGTGTATTCCCTTGTATGGGTCAAGGTTAGGGATGCGACGATCATATATTGATATCAGGCCGATATACTGACTCAAATAGCTGGATGGGGTATCGGTGACAATGGGCCGATCTATTCAGTTCATGTTTACACATGCATGTACTACATCATGAATCAGCAGCACGCCGGTAGACGGCGTAGCTGAGGGAGACAACAAACATGTCAGCGGAATGGAGGTATTTCACGCTTTGCACTTGTATGTGACTTAATGTTTACATTTAGTTCTCTTAGTTTAGTTTTATGCAGTTTGGTTGTTTTATAATGTAATTTAAATTCCTGTTTAAGTTTCACCCACTTTGTTGCTGCATTAAAAAGGTTTATACCTGAACTGTAATATGTACAATTTTTAAAGAGGTTGCTACTGCATGATTTATTATTTTATTAATAAACAACAATTCAGTGAATTGACATCTATGTATGTATTTATTACATTTTGTTTTACAAATTTAGGAATGTTTAAGTCAAGCCTGATGTTGCCTTACACATAAAAGAATGATCCCAGTCACTTCCAGCACAGCAGTGAAGTATTTAGCTTATTAATTTAACGCTGGTATGGGATCGGTTGTCTGTATCGGTTGATACCTAAAGCCCAGGTATCGGTACCGGGACTGAAAAAGTCGGCTCAGTGCATCCCTAGAAGCAGAGGGGGACAGAGGGCCTGATGTAATATTTTTATGAGTAAAAGTCTGAATTGTAACTGTGTTCTTTCTCAAAACTTGTGCTTAAAACAAAGGTGTGGTGTCGGACACTGTGTGCTGTTTAAAATGTATGTTTCTGTCTAAAAATAGCAAAAACAACAACATTTTTTGCCAGGGTACATGTGACTATCGTTCATCTGTTGTTTCAGAACCACGGACAGCGCTGGTTGTTGTGTTTCGGGGCTGCGCCTCTGTCCGTAGCACTGAAGGAAATCACCAGACAGACAGATTACGGTTCATTAGTTCCGTTTCGTTTCGTTTGCTTTTTGTGGTTTAACAAAATCGAAATAATGAATTCTCAATCATGGCTGTACACATGTTTCTGTTTAGTAACTGCTGCCTACCAAGTTATCCAGAGTTCTCATGAGGGCCTCAAACTCATGCTCCCCGATGCGGCTCTTATGCAGGGGTCCAAAGGTGGAGCCAGCCCAGCCCACGGTACCGGCTACGTTGGGTTTATGGGTGGTCCGGTCCAGCAGAATCAGGTTATGTTCACCACCGGCACAGCACAAAGCTGACACCTGGCAAACAATAAAAGAAATAGATTTATAACGAGCTGCAGCTTCTCTGAGGCCAAAGTGACTCAGCTAATTTTCTTCACACACACTTTTTAATTCAACAAATCAACCTCCATAAATGTGAAGGATCAATGACCTTACAGTCACATATCTGCTTCCTACAGGCCACTGTTGGCCCTGTAGGATTACCGCAGGGTCTCTTTGGCACGCAACACTTCTCTAGTGTATTATACTGCAGTGCAGAGCTGCTGGCTCAATTACAGTGAGACGGTACCAAGAGAAGGGCAACTGCACCGGAGTAAAACTGGTGCATCTACATTATGTACACATGCCAGCTCACTCTCACACACCTACATACATACATACATACATACATGCAGTGGCAGCACTTTGTCTCCAGTGCATCAGCTGTTAGTCAGTATAGTGTGTGTGTGTGTGTGTGTGTGTGAGAACTACCTGGATCTCGCAGGCAGCCTGGATGTGGTAGACGGAGTAGAAAGCCTCCTCCACAGACTCCCCCAGAGCCACGATGCCGTGATTCCTCAGTACCAGAACCTACACATCATGACATCAACATTTACAAAGCAATGAAAACCGCCCTCATTATTTCTATTTTAAAACAGCTGCAGGTTATTGAGAAATGTCCCTGCAGAATGAGAAAGCACACTAAGACCAACTCCCAAAGTTGAGCCTATAAGCAGAAGCAATAGCTTCAGTAATTAATCCAGGATAAGACCACATCACCTCGTGTCTTTTGTTCATTCATTCAGAAAGCTGAATGTGGGACGCACGGGAGCAGCGACTGAATGATACGCCCGTGTCTTTTCTCTGGTGGTTCGGCTCACCTTACAGGTCGGCCCCAGGCTCTTCTGCAGCTCCACTCTGTCCTCCTCCTCCTCCATGGCTCCGTTGTAGTTGTAATAAGCCACATCACCGACCAGCAGAGCCTCATGGGACAGCGGCAGGAGGCCGCACTTCATTGCTGAAACCTGGAGACGGTTGGCTGTCAGTTGTGGCAGCAAAGGTCACGAAACAGGCTCATATTCACAGTGTGGACGTCACAATATGCTTCACCAGCAAATCCATGCTGGACAATGATATATTATGTTAAGATGATGCTGCAAACGCTGATACCTAACTCTAACATATGTATCTTAAGAGTATTATTACTACATCCCATTCATCCATGTGTAGCTGGAGGTGACCAGCGGAAGTGTAATGGTGACTCACCGCAGCCGTGGCCGGCGTGTGGAGGTGAAGCAGACAACGAATATCTGGCCGGGCCGAGTAGATGGCGGAGTGCAGGCTGAACTTCTCAGGGTCCACGCCCAGGTTGGTGCTGCCCCTCTCCACCATCTCACCCAGGACATTCACCTTTACCTGGACACCACATTAAAAAGAGGTTTTAAAACATGTGTACATAAAAGCAGGTTTTGGCTTAATTTTATAACAAAAATGTAATACAAAATAGCATCATATCAGTAACATCAGAGGGCTAAATGCACTTTTCCATAAACAGCCATGTCAACATACGCTCAGTGGCCACTTTATTAGGTACAAAGGTCACACTATGATGGGTACTGAACTGCATTAGGTGTTTCTAATAGTCTGCCCCTTTCATGTGTGTGAACAGGAATAAAAACACCTCTCAATATAATGTAGTCCAGTACAACACCAACCTTATGACCTCAGTTGTATTGAGTTGCATTAGCATGTACAGGTGTACCTAATAAAGTGGCCACGGAGTGTGTATGTGGGACCTTGATCATGGCTGTGGTTAGTCTCACTCACCAGACTGGATCCAGTCACCTCACTGTAGGCCAGGCCGTCTGGAAGCACCAAGAAGTGTTCCTGTTCTTTACTAACACGCAGCTGTCAGGGAGGAAGAGGAGCATCAGTGAAGACAGACAGACGATGGAAGTGAAGCTATGCTAGTCCAACATAATAATGTGTTGTTGCGTTAAATGTCTCTTAAATGTCCGCTGTTTAAATTCAAACTTCTTCAAATATATGGAAACAGAAACATCGAGTTGATTAAGTTAATAAATAAATGAACAGAGCTTTTCTCTATTTGCAAATAACACTTACAGTGGCTTAAAGGAATACTTCACCACCAAATGATCATTTGTACATCATTACTCACCCTGTGTTACCTTGAATTATTGAAGAAAACTTTGTTTATCTGGCCTGACTCTACGGGGAACAAAGAATTAAAGAACAGAGAAAAGTCGTGATGGACTGAAGTAAATGGGGGCCGCGTTTAACACCAAACACATGCATCTTTGCTAACACCTTACTATTTAAAACAATTTGGACTCATTTGAACGAGTAGCGCCTGCATGAGGCCGTTTATGCGGAAGTGTTTTAAATAGTAAGGTTTTGGTGAAGATGCATGTGTTTGGGAAAAAGTGAGCATAGCGCTGGTTAAATGAGACCTGGATTATACTGTCAGAGTTTGTAAACGGATGTTTCGATACATTTTCGCTGTTAAACTCTACCTCCATTTACTTCAATTCATCAAGACTTTTGTCAGTTTGTTGATTCTTCGTTCACTGTGGAGGCATGCAAGAATAACACAGTTTTCTTCAAGAATTCAAGGAAACACGGGGTGAGTATTTTATATGCAAATGGTAATTTTGTGGTTGAAGTATTCTTTTAAGGCTGCTGCCAACTAAATCAACAAATTACTAGCTGTCTACCCCATCTCTTCTAGTATCTATAGCACAAATAGCCTGATCAACTCAGTTCTTTCCACATATGAGCTACCCTTCCACATAAAACTGCTGACCAAGGGTGATCTTATAGTCTGTGGTTCAGTGGTAGAGCAGGGTCGTTCTTCAATCAGAGGATCGCCGGCTCCGCTAATCCATGTCGACGTGTCCTTGGCTAAGACACTTAACCCCAAATTGCTCCTGCGGTGTATGAATGGGCGTGAACGGTTAGTTAGAGTCCTGATGGGCAGGTGGCAGCTTGCATGGTAGCCCCTGCCATCAGTATATGAATGTGTGTAAACGGGTGAATGATAACATGTAGTGTAAAAGCGCTTTGAGAGGTCGGAAGACCAGAGAAGCGCTACACAAGTACAAGTACATTAACCATTTATAGTTCACTCTGACCACCAACAGTCAAACTGGATTTTTGTACCGATCACTGACGTGATGGAAAAGTCTTATCCGTGAGTATGTGTTCTGCCTCACAACAAAAGTAAAAAACAATCTGTGCATTTTGATACACATACTACCATACTATTTAGTATGCCAGAAAAAGATTTAGTATGTCCCATAACATAGTATGTCCAATGCAGTCCAGTCACATTTTGCAGTGTGCAAGCCAGCATGCTATTTTGGCTATTCTCATACACAATCCTTTGTGCAGCGGATATATGAGCAAGAGAGTCAAATCAATGTGCAATGTTACGATGAAGTAGTGTGTTCCAATTGAAAGCATACTGCATGCAACAGTACGTACTTTGAAAGGGCAATCGAAGTATGTACTAAAAGAAATAGCATGCCATTTGGAAAAACAGTCAAAGTCAGGAATGTAATGTGAAAAGGTGGTGGAACTAACAGTGAGACAGGTGCGGCTGATCTGGGCCCAGCCATACAGGTCAAACAGGCGATGGACACTAGCCAGCTTGCAGCGCATCAACCTCTCCCCCTTCACCATGCTGCCAGGATCCCAGCTCTGCAGGTCATTGATGGGTGTCACCATCATCATGTCTGTGGAAGAAAGGCAGAGCACCAGACAGAGTGAGAGAGTGCCGTAAAGATGACGGTTTGCAGACACAAAAGACGAGTGGGAGAGCGGTTGATCAGTTCTTTTCAAGGTACACATTTCAACATAAGGAAGATGGCATTGATGGGGCAACTTCAACTCTTATCATTACTATTAGCACATGGACTTTGGTGACCTCATAACATCGTGTGGTGCAAATTCACATAAAAGTGTGTGAATGAAATACTCAGACAAATAATAGAATACCAGGCCTATAAATGGCTTTGACAAAGTATATGCAGTATAATAGAGAGTTGTTTAAAAGTGTTCAGCACGTACTAGAAGGGGAGACGGGCAGGGCGGCTGGGGAGCCATGTGAGGCCATGAAATCAGCCAGCTGTCTCAGCGCCCATAGGTTGGATGAGCTGCCACCCTTCTTCATCTGTTCCTGGATCAGCACATCCAGCTCCTCCCTGAATGACTACACACACAAACACAGATATTAACACGTATACACGGACCACACATTATAAATCATGTATGTTTAATAATAATACTCAATGTGTAGGAGTTGAACATTTCTGTTTTTGGCCTTTGAACACACTCCTACACCACAGGGGCGAGGAGGAGTAAACATATTTAATGAGTCAGCCTCTCTTTCACTTCATGGTCACCCTCTCCTCTTCAGCGTCATGTAGCTTCCCACACATATGTAGAAGCAGCTGCAGCCCAAGCTGTCAAGTTGCATTTGAGAACAGATTTATTGTAATGTGAGGAGATGAACTCATCTAGAGGAGAGGAGACGGAGAAGGAAAAAGACAGAGACATTAAGACACACACACACGCAGACAAACAGCCATCTCACCGGACTCTGAAGAAGGCTGGAGATGTGTTTCTTATGCTGGGGTCCGGAGCTGGGTGTGGAATGCTGAGGAGACAGGAGGCCCTCAGGGACCCCATCACTGGGGCTGCGCTGCACCGGGGTGCCTTTGGGGGTGGGGGACTTGCTCATCTTCTACGTATCGCAGTGGGTGTCTTACAGCCAGGAGTGGGTGGGGATGACTGTAAAGAAAGAGTTCCAATTTTATAAATGTTGAACTTTTTAGAGAAATACCTTAACACAGGAGTTAGAAGTAAACTGCAGACCACTAAACATCTAGACTTCCCAATATTGACTACTTTACTCAGACCCCCAACTCCTTAAGATATCTCCCTAATTTACTTTATCACATCGAGTGACAACTTTCTTTAACTTCCAAGTTAGAGTTACTGATGAGATGCATTCCATTTACAAAACAGAAAGAATACAGTGAATTCAGCCAGAGAACAGTCTGGAGATCAACATCATGATACAGCCTGAATCAGAAACACATGGGAAATAGCGCACGTCCCGGCTTATTGGAATAATGGAGCAATTCTTGGCGTCTGGACCGACCAGCCCTTCCTTATGGCAGGAGCTTCAGGAGCTTCAGGCAGGATGAGCAACAAACCTAATGATAGGAACAGCACACAACAAGCTGCAAGTGTTGAGCTTTCTCTTGCCAAAGTCATTTTTTTGAATGTGCGGTACAACGGTGATGGGCAGATATGACTTAAAGAAGGAATAATATCTTAAAAGACATCACAAAACGGTTACACAAATAAAACTATTGAAATTATACGAGCCATATGCTCCTAAAGCAGCAGCCAGAACCCTGTTCAGATGAAAGTCATTGCTGGCGTATTCTAAGAAATTTGCAAACGGGAGAAGTGCAGTGAGCAGTAAATTGTTTAATCTTGCTGCCTATGCTTGTAGGAGTGCACTAAAGGCCTGCCTCGGGATCCTGGGGAGCACATCAGCCCAAGCTATGAAGAGATCCAACAAAGACGATCAAATATTAAACAACAATTGTCAGTTCAATCAATATTCTCCCTTATGTACAATTCAAACCCATGACAATCCATTTGCATCTTGCATCACAATGAAAACAGTTGACAAGAGCAAAACTAAACAGTGTATTTGAGTGCACATCAAGCCTGGATTTCTTAGTATTGTTAAAATGGCAGCATTGAGATGAAAAACCTACCCTCACATTAAGGATGCTGTATTCCTCAGGGCACTGGCCAGTGGAAGTGCAGAGCTATAGAAAAATGCAGCATTAGCAGAGCTCACATGCAGCAGCGACAGAACCACGAACAGGAAGTTAGCTAGTGATAGGGCTCCGTAACTGGAGAGAGTAAAGAGTTACTGTAAGGATCTTCAGAGAAGAGCTGGCCAGCCACTCCCCGATACACACACACTTACACACAAACACTCACACACACAGTGCTGCAGGGAGCAGATAAGGTCCCAGACACACCACACCCTCTCTCCTGTGCTACATCTCACGGACTGACATGATTCGTTTGTTACTTGATAAGTTGAATAACTGAAACATAACTATTTGTGTATCCGTAATCACGTGCGTCGTTCATCCCTGATGTCTCAAGCTTTTAAGATGCTCACTCGCTCGAACAGCACAAAAGCAACTTACATCAGATCCATGTGCTTTTTCTAAATCTCGTTTTTTTTTGCACACGAGAAATTCTGACAGATGACTAAACCTTTAATGGAGTTTCTGGATGAACTTTTAACCTGACGACAACACCAGGCTGCCTGCACTGAAAAGCATTGAAACGCCACATCATCCCTTCACTAAAGGATTAACTAAACTCCAGAATCATACACTGACATACGAGCATTATGTTGTCTTGTTTTGATAATGAAGGAGCTGCTCTGTTCAACTTACTAATACAAGGTATTTGCCTTTCAAATAAAGGGTGTGTTCATTGTGATTTGATGGTCAGTTTTTAGATTTTATGCACATCACATACGGATATTTATATCTTCAGTCGAATGCATCCAGGAAGACGTCTTAAACAAAGTCGCTGATCTTAAAATAATAAGCAGCAGTCATTCTATAAAAGCCTAAATGTGAGGCAGCTTACTGCCTAACAGTCTCACAATAGAGGTTGGTTCAGAGTGTTTCTGACTCTCTCTCTGGGGGTAGAGGGGCCCAGCTGCTGGCAGGCAGCAGACATAAAGCCTCTCTCTCTCTCAAGGGACGCTCCTAATGACTAAGGGGAGACTTAGAGATCTGGCTGGGGCTGAAAAAAACGTTGGAAAACAAAACGAATTACTTTGACCAATATTGCAATATTAGAGGGAATGACCATTTTAAAATCATTTTTATTGAAAAACGTTTTCCCGGCATATGTACAAACAGATGTTTTGTTAAGTCTGTAGAATATGATTTGTAGGCATGACAATATTACATTTTAAATGATATTCTGACACACAATATTACGCCTCCTGTGATTTGAAAATTGTGGTAACATTTTGATAACATTTTAAAATAATTGTTCAGCTATAGATCTGGCTGTTGGCCCAACATCACTCCCTCTTCCTCTCATCTTTAGTCGCGCTGTGATGGCTGATCATGCCGCATCATCACCTCACACTTGTTTCATTAAATCCCAGGAAGAAGGAAAGCTGCCCGTCTCTCCTCTTCTACAGCCGCGTTCTTATCAAACAGCAAAAGAAGAATTTCTGTTATGTTCAGTTTAACAAATAAATATTTAACAAATACTATTCGCTGTGTTTTCCTTCACCAGAACACACGATAAATAGATGTAATGCTCTGCTGCGAGATACTCTGAGGTCTCCGGCCTAATCTGTACCTTAAAAAGAGGTGAAAGAAACCACCCATGCATTAAGTTTGATGTCGATTATATTCACATACACATGCCGGTATCGACTGATGTCAGAGCACTGACATCCATCAGCAGAGAGGTAGACGGGTATAAATTACCTAAATAGCTGTGGATTGATTTTCTTTGGCTTCACTTTCATTGGGATTAAATCATGATGACCGTCAGTGGATCCCAACCATTAAGTGGCGACTTTCCAACAAACCAGTTTCTATAACAAATACGTTAAAAGTGTTGTGATCATGGTTTTACTTTCTAAAATCGCTGCAACTCATCATATTTGCCGTTAATGTTATGGTAGACAACACGTTCCAATGTTACACTTCTTTAGAGTCATGTAGTAGCATGTTGGAGAATGAATGAGTCTGTATTGATTACACCTACATATAATTGAAACTCAACTGCATTTTTATTTAACACAATGTCAATTAAAAAGGACTTCCAAACTAATATTCCTGCCTAACAACACACCAAGATAAGCCTACTAAACTAAATTATTATGGCATTTTTATTAACTCACAAGGGAACCTTTGTTGTATTCAACCCCAAAATAAATTAATTCTAAACATCAAGCAGTGTTTTCTAAGTGCTGCATGCACAAGATGAAAATGCATGAATGGTGTAGAGGTATTTTGCTGACTCGGTGCAGGAGATTCTAGTCTCTAATGAGACATTTGGCTTCCACTTAAAATGTAAATATACAATAGCAAAATATACAAAACACTTAAGGAGCAAATGGAAAAACAGCTTTTGGCCAGAGAGGTGCATATCCCTTAATCATTGCTGATTGTTTAATTCCTTTCAGCTCATGTTTGAATTTCAATAACTACAAACTTGATATTAAGGTGTTTTAAAACAGCAAACATCCTTTCATTTTTGTATAATGTATAGTCACAGTTTCTATATCAAGACTTTTTTTTTGTATGAATAGTTTATATTTATTCATGTAAGACTATTCAGTAATTCAACATACGTGACATTATTTAGATTCAGGATAAATAATAGAAACTTAATTCCACCAACATCAACTTCTATACTTCTGTGGCTCAGATGAATCCATCCACTGCCATTGTGCTGAGGGAGATTACAATCTACACTCCCAACAACACTGAGCCACATGGGGGAGGAAGAGGAGGACATGGGGGAGGAAGAGGACATGTTTATCGATCAGATAGCCACGTGAGTGCAAGGCAACCTATTACGTATCTACAGCTCCACATTTCAACGTGAATGAACAACCTCGTTTTATTGCTCTTTTTATTTTAATCCTCCTCCGCTCCTCTACCCGCTAGCGGCCCGCGCGCTGCATGGCTGCCTAGCAACACTCGCGCGCGCTGCAGCATCAGCACCAGGATCCGCTAATGGCCACCCACAAAATGCAGCCACAGCTCAACACCGCACGACTCTCCCTCCGTAAAGAACCGCGCATTTAAAACAAACAAAACATCACGTCAAATTGCCAAAATAGCTCATAATGTCCAGCATGTTAATCCTGACACTGTCCGGAAAACACACGCGCGCACACACACATACTCACAGGCTGAGCTTGTGTAAAATAACAAACAGCCATCACGCTAATGAGCCAGATTAGACGGTGCTTTTCTAACACACTGCCATCACAGACTTGCAGCCTCGATCTGAATACACGTCGCAAACTGCACACATGAGACCTTCGTCACGGGCCTTCTTCTGCAGAGCACAATGAAGAAAAAGAAAAGCATGGCCAATATGGAGAGGGTGTTGTGCGCCGAGTATTTATGCTATGTTAATAGCGTTATAAGAGCACACAGTACAATATATCAACAGAAGGGAGTGGGATGCGCCGTATACGACCGACAACATGGTAAACATCAGGCAGTAAAGGATGCTATCGGCGCACACACGCGTCAGGGAGGACCTTGTAGGTTACTACGCCCCAGCCTTTTAACTACGAGTGCCTCGTACCGACACAACTAAACACAGATGATTGCAGGCGGTACTCACCTCAGTGCATCCTTTCAGGACAGAGTCGTCTTTGAGGGTGCGGCACACCCACGGCCCGGAGCCGCGTCCTCAGAAAGAAGCAGCTGTGGGTAATTGTAATCAATCTGTCACTATATTGGGCTGCGACACCAGGGATCCTTTGTCAGACTGTTTCAGGGCCTCAGCTGATACCAAGCCAGTGGACCCTGATGTTGTTCATCCCTCGGTGCGCCTGGACCAGCCCACTGCCACGCCTGTCCACCGTCTGACACCCGAGGGCTCCCACTCACACAGCTGCAGTGGGAATGAACCTTTTTGCAAAGCACTTAGTTGTTGTGTTGGTAAAGCCTACGTGCAGCCCTGGTGGGCATCTAATGCTGGCTCCTGACACGTTTAGTTAGCTAGGCCCTCTTCAATACGGACTAAATGTTTCCCACAAGAGAGGCGCCACCTTCTGTTCTGATGGAGAAGAGCCTCTAACCTACACTGTAAAAAACACCCCCCCCCCCCCCCCCCTCAAAAAAAAAATACATTTTAGATTATTCTGCAACATCTGAACCAAGATTCACACCCACAAAGAAGTAACAGTATATTTTCTGTATATTACTGTACCGACATACACGTTTGAGGTACTTGTACTTAACCTGACCATTTCAATTCATAACCAGTTTCTACTTTTAATCTACCACAAAATAAAATACAAAGGAAATATTGTACTTATTCGTTAAACTGCCGATACAGATTCTACATACAAAACACATTATGTTGCTATAGATCATGAGACTACAATAAAGGTTTCCTTGACCTTTAAAATGCTGTTTAATTATTAATGCATCAGTAATAATATATAACATACATTGATTTTATATAATGAGAAGGCTAGTTGTTTTTAAACTTTAGGTAACATGCTTATGACCTTTTTACTTATGTAAACATCTAAAAGCAGGCCTTCTACACGTCTATAATAGAGTATTCTTATGCTGTGGTATTGTTACTTTTACTTAATAAAAAAAATCTTCTTGCTCCTGTAAATTTAAATATATTTAATAAAAAACAACCACCAGCTACAATGGCTTATTATAACGTTCAGGCTTTTTGATATTTCCAGTTGTATTTTTGGAATCAGATTAGTAGACGCTAGTAGCGTGATGACGAGACAACTCAAACAGCATTCAGCTATATGTGTAAATTAATATTATGAGAGCCAGAAACGGAACAAAACATGTCTGTCCGCTTGGTACAAATGTCTTCCTTCAAAGGACAATTGATGAAAGCTGATAATATTCATCATGTACAGCAGTACTGTAAGTACTGCTGGTACAATGAAGAGTTGATGTAAAGAAGGCATCTATTTGATTTAATAAAAACTACAAACCCTTTCAGAGAGTAATTAAAAAAAAAAACAGAGACAGTCTTGCTTATTTTATTTAAGGCCAAGGATACAGTTAAATAAAAACATTCTTATTTAGTCAAAAGAAATGTAAATTTCAAAAGTTAAATTAAAGACAAATAAATTCAGCATTTTCTTCGAGAAAAATCCTTTCTTCTTCAGCAGGCCCCTAAAAATAAATCAAAAATGAACTCTTAAGTAGCACAGTTCCTTTAACACAATTACTACATTCAGCGACTCCTTGATAGAAAGTGATAGACTTTCAGCTCAGCACACTGCTGATCACACTCAGGAGTGAAACATCTGACCAGAAGAGGGCACTGTAGCAATGCTTTTCAAATCACTGGGAAACGATACTCTACTTCTTTTCACTATGCTCAAATGTTTAAAAAAATAAAAGCATGACAACTTCAGAGAGGGGTGATTAGTTCTTTGCTCAAGGGTTTGGTGACCTCAGCAAATTATCAGTCGCGCTTACTTTCGATAGAAGCAGAGGTGTAATCAGCCAAAATAACTGAACTCATCTGCGTCAGTGTGCTGGCCTGTGAGCACATTTTACACTTGAAAATACAGTTCAGTTATGAATAGGTCAGTTAACAAACTAACATATACTCTGAATTAATTGGCCCTCTGAAAGGAAACAATATCAAGCAACAGGCCTTTTTCACAGCAGACATTTTGACTCGTAACAGGAACAGCACAGGTGTTACTAATAACATGAACGAGGGCTCTAATCAATAAGTGAGCCAGCATTCAGGGCCCTGAAACCGATGCAGCCAAATGCAATTCAGTCGTCATTAATTCAATTTTTTTTTTTACACATGTGCTCTTCCTAATATGGCATGAAAAAAATATTCCTGTGAGCAAGGCCGGTGCAAGGCCAGTGGATTGTCAATTTTAAGAAATTGAGAATCATCTATCAGACCACACTGGGGCAGCACTTGTATACTATTAGATCAATGTGGTCCAATGGTACTATTACTACTTCTACAATTAATAATATTATTAATGACATTATGAAGATGAAAAGGTGAAAGAAGAAGAAAAGGTAGAAAGGAAGGAAGAAGAAGTCTACTTCTTCGACGAAATCTTACCAACTTTTGGTATGATTTCAGCCATCTGGATTTTAACTGATTAGATATTCATGAATTAAACATATCCAACCTGGCAGGTTTCCAATATTGGTCCAAACCATGTGCTTTAGGGTTGAGACAGCTGTGGAATAAAGAAGACGGTGATTATGTCCGAGTTCTGAACAGCGTATTATCTTCATGGAATAAACAGCATAAGCAATACATTTGCCCTCAAAACATTTTTCAGCAAGTTTAAGAAACTGGCCACGGCAAATCTCTTGAGCTACAGGTTCAGCTTCGTCTTTACACAGATTTCCACATCTGGGCAGCTGTTGTGATAACATATCAGGCCAATGGAATAGTAAAAAAGTAGCTTTGTATTTATCTAAACCTCTTCACCTTGATTTATCCAATCAAATGATGAGGTACTTGTGAGGACGCTGTGAATGAGTGATGACAGGGCTACACTGAAGACAATCAAATTCTTTGTGTTGATTGCCAAATGCAGTCGTGGCGTATTCCTGTCGGATGATTTCAGGAATCAAGAGTGTCCGATTGCGTATTGTTTGAAGGGTCTGCATTCAGTCATTATACAGTACGAAAGCAGCCTGCATTGTGTTCAAAAGGTTACATCATTTGTCTACAACTGAAGAGGATTTTTCATTTACATAATCAAGAAGCTGAATTATCCAATTAAATCCATCATCTATAAAACCACACAATTAAAAGAATAACGAGATAAAAGATTGTATTTATATTGGCACAATTTACATTTTTGTCTATTTGTTATTTGTGTGTTCATCACTAATGGCATATGACAGAATACATTGATCAACATGTGAAAAGGAAGCGTGGGGATTGGATTAAGTGCAGCAGACTTTGAAACGATCACCAACCATGGCCGACCAACCAGCCAGACCTGCCGGACCAAACGCCACCAAACTGCCCAATGAGAGGAGAGCCCAGATGGAAGCTAAGCTAACCTAGCTAGGACCTGAGGCTGATCCACCACCCAGCCTACTGCTGGCTGTGTGATGGCCGGTCACAGAAAAATAAGATGGTTCAAAGTATCGGGAGGGTGGGACCGTTGAGCCCACATCTTCACAGAGACCTGGCTCCATTGTTCGTCCCGGATTAAGCTGTATTTGACGGACGGACAGCAGGACAGAGCGCAGGACTCTGGTGGGACGAGAGGTGGTGGACTCTGCGTTTACATCATGATGCTTGGTGCTCAAACAGTCAATGTTTTTCCTCACGTTGTATTTTTAATGTGAAGATGTCGGCCAAGAGAATTGTTTTTGTTGGGCTACAACTAAGTTTCGTCGTGCATCCCTGTGTTGCATAATGACAATAAATAATCCTTGAGTCCTTGAAAAAAAACCATCTTCGTCGTCATTAGTTTTAATTTTGTATTATAAGCTGCTTGAAGCTAGTGTTAGTATGTTGAACAGGTCATAATTTATGTTAAAAAAGGCTTATGTTGCCTTTATAATCCTTGTATTTTTCTACCAATGCACAAATACTGTTTCATATTTAAGGTAATAAGCATAATATAACTGTGCCTGTCTAGAATGAATAAAATAATGTGACAAACGTCTTTGTTATTCTGAATGGCTAATATACTTCCTTTAGCAATATCTTTTATGTAGAAATCCTAAATAGATTCAGTATACGGCCTTTAGGCAGGCAGTGCCATTCAGACACAAGATAGAAACACTCCAAATGTTAGACTTTATATATTAGTGACGTAAATTGAGTCACTTTTGTTTTGATGATGAGAGGTTGAAGAACCTTGCTAACTGTAAATGAGTCGTTTTAGTTGATAAAGTAAGTTTTGTTTTCATTAGTGTATTATCACTTGTCACTGAGAATCTTACACACGACTTTAAAAGCTCAGTTTTTTGGTTGGGCAGCTTTTAAAAATGTCGTTCTCGTTCTTTACCCTGTTAGTGCGACCCATCTCACAGCAGCTTTTAGGCATTTTTCTGTTATTTGCTAGCAGACAAAAGTGACAAGGAAGCACCTTCACACAATACAAAGTCAACAGAGAGCAACGATTCGTTTCCCCTCAGGTGTGGCCGGGACGAAAAGGAATTCCTTAAACAGTTAATTTGTTATGTTTAAACTTAAAAATGTAGTAGGTAAATATGTTATGAAGAAACCTGGAGAACTTTAAAAAAGGTACAACATGCTGGCATGCTAACACACAGCATTCAAAGTCAGCCAAACTCAACGAGCAGAAAGAGGAAGAAAGCGTGAGAAGTGTAAATGAGAACAAAACAGTGACTTTGGAGAAAGAAAACATTGTTTTCTGATTGATAATGGAGGCCACTTTGGAAAACGCCAATAAAGACACCCATCTGCCCTGCGGGAGGGTGTTGCATTGATGGGTTTTTAATGAAGGCAGACAAAAGGCACGCTTCATCTCGTTGGCTTTGTGTGTGGGGGGCCTAAGCACATAGAAACAATACAACAATGTGTTCCCATCCTAGGTCATAACAATACTGCTGCTTTGTACCATACAGATACTAGAGGGAGCCTTGTGCCTCAGGAGTGACAAAGCAGCTGTGTTTCACAACTTGAAACACCACTTCTGATCGTTAGCTTCAAAACTGTAATATTAGAGGTCTATTATACAGATGTCGCTGTAGTTGTGTTCTCCCCCTGCAGCATCATAATAATCTACTCATCCTACTCTAATAATAGTTCATATCAATGCCAAAACAAAATCAGGATATATTAATTAAAACAATTTCATTCTGATTTATAAAACGTTGCAATGTTTGTATGCATGTATATTCTGTAAATCCCTGTACATGTATGTAAAAAGATGAAATATTAGCCGACAAACACCAAGCATAAGATTAGGCAGAATACTAGAAAAGTTAAATGAGGTACCAAAGTCTGATCAGGTGATACTTGGATGATGAACTGGTAGGCAGGCAGACAATGCTGCAACATCAGTCGGGTCATATCTCCGTCCTCCGTTACCGGTTCTGAGGGCATCGCGAATCCATCTTCCATTCGCTCCTCTGACATGTTCAGCAACTGTCAGGAAAAAAAAGCATGCAAGAGAGAATAGATCAAAATATAACCTTTTACTTTCAAATAATCACTTGCCTTAGACTTGAAAAGTGCTCCACTTTGGCCTTCAAAAATGTACATTACTGTTGTACAATTTAGGACCTGCTGCATTGTACGATAAAATGGGAGGCGATTGTTACACAGATTGTTACACTGTCAGCCAATATGGAGTAATTATGGATAAAAATATTTTGTTCCTGCAGCTTTTATCATGAAAGGCTGAGAGGATGTTGTTCCTGCTCAAGAAGGAAGATACATATCAATTTGAGTATAAGCATGAGCACTGAATTACACCAGCCATGCAACAAAAATAATTGCAGTCTTAACATACTCTCTTCTCTAAATATAAACCTCTGCCATTAGGAAGAAGACTCCTTGTACCAAAGTGCAAAAAAAACAACTGCTTGAAACTATCCTGTGTTCCAGCCTCCATCCAGCTGCTGAGCTCTAAGGCTTAATGTGCACTTCAGCACTTCGGCCTTGCTTCAAATGTCTCTTACTGTACGCTTTAAGATGGTTTCATGTTTTTTTTTGTTTTTTTTTTAAAGGGAGCAATGACCTGTAGCACTGTACCCAAAGACAAATTCACCCTCAATAAAGGTAATCCGTCCATCCATTTATAAATGCCATCAAACACCCTTAAAGCTCAAAGTCAGCTTTTAAACCTCATAGCCATTGTTCTATCTACAGTACTGATGCTCATTGTTTACTTTTACAAATACACGTACTGTAGGCAGGTCCATTGTTAGGAGTCTAACCCCAAAGCCACTACATCCACTAAGAAACGGTGTCAAGCGTTATAGGTGGCTTCTGTTCCACCCCTACATTGATGCGATCCCCACCTGCACACTGAATGGATTAGTTTCAATGATAATGTTGTGACTACAGATGAAAAATAGCCTCTTAGCTAACTCTGGTGCATTCACAGGAATGTTTTATTCATGTGCACTGTCCCTACCAAATAAACCAATAAATAAAATTGTACCACTACAATTCTAGTTAAGGCTTGGAAATATATCGATATCATGATATGAGACTACAATTCTCGTCTGAGATTTTGCATACCGTAAAAAGGCAGAAGTAAATATTTTGTGAAAGCACCAATCAACTATGATATCGTCGCAATATCGATATGGAGGAATTTGCTCCAAATAAATAGTGATATTTTGATATTCTACATATCGCCCAGCCCTAATTCAAGTTTATATAGACTAAAATGTATCAAACCACTCGTCATAACTACACAGTGGGGAAAAAAAAAAAAAAAAAAAAAAAACTCACATCCTCCACCCTCCACAGGTCATTGCTCAAGCTGTCGGTCTGACCATAACTGATTGCATTCTTTAGGAAATCAGTCCCACTGCTATCATCCTGAGAAAAAAAAATAATAACACTAATCAACATCTCAAAATAAGTGTCAGTGCTGTCAGCGGAAAACAACAGAGGGCACTTGTCATTTGATAGAATCCTGATGAATGCAGTACTTACATTGTCTGCGTCCTGCAAAACTGCAACAAGCAATCGGATGTATTCCGTCGCAGCTTTGAGTGTGTCCACTTTACTGGGCTTCCGGTCCGGTCGCATTAGTGGCACCATGCGTTTCAAGCGGGAGAACATGGTGTTCAAGCTCCTAATCTATACAGAGAAGAGGCTGAAGTTTCACATTAACTAGCCAGATTAGAGCAACAAAAAATGGTATCCTACGTTCTGTTACCAAAACACAAGCCCGTGCTTGGATATATAGTCAAATATAAGAGTCCAAACTTTGGGCAGGACCAGAACTGATGGGGAAGTGTTCCCTACTCACGTTTACACTTATCACATGGGGGAGAGGTGTGATCTACTTTGAATTGTACTAAGGTATGTCTAGCATTCATAGAGCTACGATACATAATATAAAGATTAGCCTCCCATACTACAACAGAGGTTTCAGTAACGAGTTCCTGATCCCAATCGATTTTCATTTTGTCACTGGAGACCTCTACATGAACCTGTGTAATATCATACAAGTAAGAGATTGACCACTTAGTGCCAGGTACATGGCGAAGAATGCGGACCAGTATATTATGTTTGGGTTTATGCTCATAGAGAGGTATATGGTCCATAATAAAATGTCTAATCTGGAGGTACCTATAGAAATGTGCTGATGTTAAACCATGGGTCCGTGGTAATTGTTGCAAAGACACAAGGTTTCCCTCTGAATACAAGTCCATTATCGTGAAATTATTTCTGTCTTTCCAGATAGAGACGAACAATAAAATCAATAGGGTTCTGTCTGTCAACAGCTGCAGCAACCCAAGCCAGCAAAGGTATTTAAATACTGACTCAGTCAACCTTTGAGAGTTGAGTTTTAAATGGATGTAATTTAGCCAACTGAATGTTACTATCTCTCTAAAATCATCCGTACAAATCATTAGTCAGAATACTATTATATAGGCCTATATAATAGTACACCAAGACACCAAGATAAGACAGTTATATTACATCATAATCCATAAACCAATACCTCGATTTATTCAATTCCCCAGTTTAACAGTGTTTATTAAAAAGTTTGCGTTCTTCCACTTTGTGCCAAACTACATTTACAAATTTTTAAAAGGGTCAGGCTTACTGCCAAATACAGAAATCTTAAAACAAGATTTAGGCCTGGACGTTAATTTACTTAATGTCCACGGGGGAATTCTGTATTTAATCATGTTGCAGGCGTGTTATAAAAAAAATAAAAAATAAAATAAAAAAAAGCATGAAAATACACCAGAACTAACGTTTGCTGACAGTGGTTAGCATGTTTCACGTAAAAAGAATTGAGCTACCTTTAGCTGGAAAACCTCAAGGCTGAAATGTATTACTGCTGTGCTACAGATAGTTTGTATGATGATAGGTGGTGTGTGAAATATATTGCCTGACAGTTTTTAATACGTTTTAACGTTACTGCGTTATAGCTAACGTTAAACTGGGGAACAGCTAACGTTAAGCTACTTGTTAGCTAACGATAAGCTACTTGCTAGCTAATGTTAGCTGAACTGACCCGAGTTTGAATGCTGAGCTTCTGCGCAGTAGAGCTCCCCTCCTGTCAAACACATTACCAAACTATCAAACAGTTATTCGTGTTTAATACAGTGTCATTTAAAATGAACACTCACTCTCAGTCGTTCCTTGGCGTTGACCAGTTCTCTCTTTTTCACAGTATGATGGAAGTCCTCGGCGACGAAGTACAAGCCGTCCTTTCCCCGTTTGAACTTCTCAATGCTGCTGTATGCGGGGAGCGCAGATTCGCCCGTTAACCGCTTCAAAATATCGCTCATTAATTCCTCCTCCGGTACCTTCATTTTAAACTAATTACATATATTAGACTTTACAACCTGTTGATTCTGTTATGGCATTTCCCCCCTACGGCCTAAATCACGTTCTCATGTAAATAGCGCAAAGACAGGAGAAGAGCGAGCTGCTGTGAACACACCTGCGCTACGTCTGTAATTAGTCCCCTGCGGCAACTTCAGGATGGATTTAACGGTTATACACCGTTCAGCTATTTCGTTTTCCCTCTATGGAGGCAAAAGAAGCATTGTATGGAGGCCTCGATGTGCTTTTTTTAAGATAATTTTTGGAATTAGAAGAATTTTACTAATTTAACATGAAAAGTTAAAGTTTAATAACTATAATATTTTTAGGCCAACGTATAGAAGACATGGCAGTGCCTTGCATTTCTAGACAAATTATTCTATGGGATGCATTTGAGAAGTTAATACATTTGCTCAGAAAAAATATTTGATGGAAGGTGTTTTTTAACTCCCCTTTATATAGAAATCTTAATCTTAATCTGACCCTTTGATAGCTGCATCTTTATGAAGTGGATTAAGTATTCAACTTTTAATTGACATTTGGAGAACGCTTGTCTTGTGCTTGTTGTACCCATGCTTATTGTTTCACAGCTTCCATATCTTAAGTAGCTAAACCTTTCATTCAGATTTATTTTGGTTGATATGGCCAGTATGGTCCATCCAACATAACGGTATACACATTGTCACTAGTTGAGTATAGTTTCTTTTATCTAATTGCTCCAAAATAACTCTTAGCTCTTTGAAAATCACCACTTTCATTGAATTGTTCAACTTTACATTATCTGTGGTCTCCCTGTGTAAAAGGGCAATGGCTCACACTTTCATACTTACATGAATGATACACAGATGAACGTGCACACACACACACACACACACTCTCTCTTTCTGTGGTCGATGTGCTTTCAAACTACTTGCCAAGTAAACCAGAGAAATATGGCATAAACATCTGAGTTTCATACATATGCCAAGACCAGTGTACTGTGCATGTGTACTGTGGCAAACCTGTTGATGGACAGACAGAAAAAAATCCGGTCAAGCATGTAGTTCTTGAGATGACAGAAGGTCTCCGGAGACAAACTATCACACAATTTGGTCGTATGCCCATAGCAGGAGCTGCTGAGGAAGAAACAAACTGGGACTGTTTTATGCGTGTTTGAAATTGTAATCCAAATGAAGTTTTAAAAAGTTTAAACTAAAATGTAAAGTTTAGGGAAATAAATGTTGACTATTCTTCAACAATAAACCCCTTTTTTAATCTCTGTTATTTGTGAACGAGCTCGAATGAAGTTTAAAAGGTGCAACACAGAACAAGTTGCATGGTCGACGGGAAGGCAAGGGAAATTTATACACAATTGCTTGGTGCATAAGTATTTGTTTTGACACACCTGTTCCTGTGTTATAGAAATAAAGAGCTGCCACGGTGAGTACAAATATATTGCAACAGCTTTTCTATTTAAAACATATATGCTGTCAAAAGTAGATTGCATTATTCATTAAGATGTTTTATATGTCAAAGAGGAGGCCTTTGGTGGGATACAAGTTAGAATAGTTTTTTCATGTATTTTGTTTGAGGTCAAGTTAACTTACTACCAGACTACTTTACCAAAAACACGTCATGCAAAATACACTAATAACTTCAGACCTCTGAGCAAATCTACAGAGCATCTAATGTGCAAAGAAGTCTCATGTTCAACATGGACCCCATGCACCGACCATGTAGACCTCAGAGAAACTAATTATGAAACGTCTTGTTTCCCTGTGGTTTCCATGCCAGTTTCTGTTCAACAAGTACAAAGTATCCATTATTCTCCAAGGGCAGTGTTCCTCACAGTCTGTGTCCCTCAGCCTTCCTGCGTTTGCTGTCTTTTGTGCCGCTGCATTAAACAAATGAAACAGCAGGAGCAGAGGTTTACAGGACCATACTCAATAACTTACGTTTTGTGTGCAATGCTTAAATAAGAGATGCACATTTTTCAAAAATGCTCATTATTTTCCGCAATATGTGGATGAATCACTTTTGTCTATCCTTCTATTTCAGCTTGTGGGCTCTGTTTGTCAACCTCACTCATGTTCCCTTGCTTAGTTCTTCTAAATTATCTGTTCTGTTCTTTGCTCACACACAACTCATAACTATATGTATGCCATACATGTTCACAAGTCAATACATGCCTGATTTGATGAGGCCCACGGTCGTTTTCATAGGTCGGTCATAAATTAGCAAATAATGAGTCAAAACAATTGAAAATTATAATGACAACTCACATGTAAAGCGATCAAACACACAGGTCTTCAGCCTCTGAGACATGTACAGTGACTGATGGTAGTGTGATGTATATCACCCCCTCCTCCTGTCTGTAACGTCTTAGTCACAAGTGTCTATACAGTATACATATATATATATATATATATATATATATATATATATATATATATATACTGTTGGGTATTTAACCTGCAGCTAAATGCATCAATTTTTATAAGAAGATTATACATTTTGTATGAAAAGTCAAGATCTGCAAAGTGTGTCTGCAGCTGAATGTAGTGAGTGTAAAGTAGCCTAACCCGTCATAAAATTTGAAAAATTAAAATGCAATGCCTTGAAATAGTGCTTAAATACAGTACTGGATGCCTGTAAGTTGAAAAAACAACAACACTTCATTGACTATTTATTATCGAAAACCGAACAATATTAAATTTTTCCCAGAGGTTTAAAGGCTCTTAATGTAAGACTGTATTAGTTTGCCCCCCCTCCCCCTCTAAGTCCTTGGACAATATTTTAGTAGGAACCAAGAGATGACGCAGAGGCCTTGCGTCATCTCTCTGCAGCCAATCAGCGCCATCCTTCCGGGATGACGTCGACAAGCTACTCGTAGCTCCAGGAAGCTGGAAGTTTTTTTTTTTACGGCTGCGTTTTAAACTAACTTTAAAGTTTTAGTTCCAGAGTTCAGACAAGAAGCCGAGCCGAATAATCATTTTTTGAAATTAGTATTCATTATTTAAAGAAGCTATCTTTGGAGATCAACTGTGGTCCGAGTCTACAGCAAGGCTGACGAGCAGGACTTCATTTAATTTGAAGTCGCCACACATCACTGTGAGATGTTGGCCTCCAGTCTTTTGGAAAATTTCTGCACCGAACACCAAGATGACCAAGCGAACAAAGTGAGTACTGGTGTGAAACACTCGCCTGGATTTGTTCTGGGGTGTTTATAGTCAATCGTGACGGGATAATTGAAGGCCTAACGTTACTGTGTGACAGTGACAACGAGTCACTACTGTAGATGCATATTGCACGTAACGTTCGGTCATTGCATACATTCAGATGGTGTTTAATGCACAACATGTGTAATATGTTTATCTACTGCATTCATATCTTTCCAGCTATATAACGCTGAATTAAATGGAGCTATTTTTTTAACACGAACACCTGTGCTTTCTTTATTATGAAAAATGTTGTTTTAAAAAAACAACTTCTAAAGATATTAATTCCATTTATAATACACTGCATATACTGGTTATCATTTCCTATTGTTTTATTTCTTATTTCTTACTGTTCCTGATTGCAGTATTGTGCAATCAGTGATAGAAAGCATCGCATCTAATAGGCTCAGTAACACTACACATGGGCCTTTCTACTGACTCTTAAAAATAGTTGAATGGAACTCATTTACCCATTTGTCTCGCTGTTTGCTGCCATTGTACTGGATTAGCTGCCTTTGTTGTTAATTTCTGTTTCTGGGAAGGGTTCAGCTGTCACCACTCTTATTGGGCCTCTGCTCTTTGTGCAAAAATAAAAATAAATAAAGTATCACTTGAAACAAAACATAGCATTTGCCCCAGTTCCTTTAGTTAATGCCAGGCCCATATTTGTGTTTTTTGCACTCACTCCTTACCCTGAGCTTACTTGCTTTGTCTGACAAAACATGCCAGATAGTAGACTGGGCCTTTTTTTAATGTCATAACATTAGATGGGGAAAGGCCTTCTCACCTCATTTTGTCTCGCTACTTGTGTCTAAACTCTGCTATCGTCCACTATCTCCGGTTTCACATTGCAGTTCGGACTGTGTGTGGCTGTGAGGTGAGCCAGCAGAGCCTTGTGTAGTATACAAGGTGTTTGTTCAATGCTTTGCTCAGATGTGCAGACCATGGGGGCAAGGTGACCTAGTAGTAGAGCTGATACATCTTCTTCGTCTACAAAAGTTGTGATGTATAAAAATAAAACTTCCCCTCTACAGAAACTCTACGCACAACATGGAGACAGCTAGATTGTAGACATAAATATGAGAGGCATCATTGTACGTAAAAATGATGCCTCTCTCACATTTATTTTCACTTCCTATCACACGTTGCTTATCCACTTTATCATAAACACTGACACCAGCAGTCATATTTGTATTTGGGCTAACGAGCCATAACTATTCCACGAGCACTTTTCAATTGTAAAAGATCTGAGCCAACTCAAATCAAAGTCCGCTCAACATCACGTCAGTGCTGTCTGCTACGGCACTCAGCTGTGGAGCGGCTGTTGAAATTGTCATTTTCGGTTATAGAAATCCAAGCTAACATCAGATGCATTAACGAATTGCAGAATTTGGCATGCGATTTTAAAATTATTTTTATTTAAATTCTTCTTTTATTAGTTTGTTTTGTTTGTTTGTTTTCTTCCCCGGAGCTGGAGATGTGTGATGACCATGTTAGGTTGTTTGTGATGCTGAACACATAAAACTGATGTAGACGGGGGTGAGTGTCTTCGCTTTTTTTCTAAAATCAACAAACTCTGAGCAGTAGGTTGTTCTCTGAGCACCACTCTGCAAGATTGTTTATTTCCTCTCAATATGAAGTCTCATTATTGTTTGTAGATAATATTAGTGCCATCGGAAAACTTCCCAACAGAGTTCTCTTCATGTCGTGGGTGTGCGGCGTGAACAAGAGGGGGCTGAGTACACAGCCCTGGGGGGCTTAAAGTGTAGCAAGTATGGCTGCCAATCTTAACTGCCCGGGGTCTGTTTGTGAGTCTAATATCCAGTTGTAGGGTGAGATGCTCCAGCCCACAGTGCTAAGTTTGCTAATCACTTTCATGCGGTCGATTGGGTTAAACTGACCTTACATTAACAAACAGCATTATGATGTAGGTGTTGTTATTTTCATGATGTGTGAGGGCTGAGTGCAGAGCAGTGGAGATGACATCTTCTGTGGATCTGTTGGCTCTGTATGCAAACTGGCTGGGATGTTCTTGTTGGTATGCTGGAGAACCAGTTTGTCAAAGCACTTCATCAGAATGGGGGTGAGTGCCACAAGGCGGTAGTCATTTACTCACGTTTGACTGGACACTGCAAACTTTTTGGGTGCACGGATGATGGTGGCTGTCTTGAAGCAGGTTGGAAATGTTTATTGAAAATGTCAGTGACGACATCAGTTGGCTGGTTGGCTCATGTTAGTACACAACTAGGGATGTTATCTGGCCCAGTAAATGCAGCTCAGTTAATTTACAATATTCACACGTATGTATCAGCCAGCAATATAAACGGAACTGCTTTTGGGCAAACAAAACATGTTGTTTTGCATCTTTTCCAGGTGCACCATGCCTTTGACACACTTGCTACTGACACACCCTTCTTCACAGACAGTAAATACAACTTGGTATCAAAATAAAGGAATCCATCTAAAGAGTTTTTGAGCTTTTCTCAATGCAGAACTGCCCATTTTTTTTAATGTAATATATTTATACATTTGTAATTATTTTAATGACATTCTAAATTCACAATCTTACTTTTTTAACTCGCTGTTATATATAACGTCTTAGCTGGCATGTAACGGTTTCTCCTATCTACAATGGCTTAGGTGGACAAATACCTGCACCATTTTCAGCTGTCGGATAAGACTTTAATGGATTTGTCAATACGATTTCGACGAGAGATGGACAAAGGCCTGTGCAGAGACACCAACCCCACAGCTGCTGTCAAGATGCTGCCCACGTTTGTGCGCTCCACTCCTGATGGAACCGGTAATACGGCTTTTTATACATAAACATGTATGAAATGGGTCCATTGAACGCATGTTAGACCCATTCATATTAGACTGCTGTTAAAGGATCAATAGCCCCTGAACACCTCTCTTCCAAATTATTCAGTAACTTTCCCTCCTTAAAGTTAAACAAATCAGACAAGCTGTTTGTACCTCAGTATCAGGCAAAGGGTCCATGTCATCCATGCTTCCTCTGAAAACCAATTATATCTGAATGACACAATTTGATGTATGTTATTCAGACTTAGTCATTGCTGGAACTTCAATAATGTTGGACACCCCTCGGTTGTCAATAGTTATTTTTCACAGCAAGAAACTCTGGTTGAAACTTGAATTCCATGTGTGTTATGTGTGTTATGTGTGTTATGTGTGTGATGTGTGTGATGTGTGTGATATGTGATTATATCTTGTGTTTTGTTTTTTGTTCAAAGAGCAAGGTGAATTCCTGGCCCTCAATCTTGGCGGATCCAACTTCCGGGTGCTCCTGGTCAAAGTTATGGCTAATGGAAAGCAAGAGGTGGAGATGGAAAATCAGATTTATGCCATTCCTGAACACCTCATGAGAGGCAGCGGGTCAGAGGTAATAACACGCGGCTAATATGCTCTGCAAACAATGTCGGGTACAGTACATGTCGTGGATTGTCTTGGAAATCCTTTATTAAAGTCATGGCACATTGAAAAATCCTATAGCTCCACTCCAAATCCCTTTTTACATTATGAATTTTTGAAGTTTTAGAAGTTTATGTATTCGAACCAATTGCTTAGTTTTCACTGGGCCGGGTTGCAATTTGTATTGAACATCCAAGAAACCTGAAGGATAATTTGCATGTATTCATGTAAATAGCTAGAAAGCCTGAAATAAAACCACTGTATGTAATATAACAGCCAGTGAAAATTCAGAATAATTAGCTATTTACATTATTTTTTTTGAAATTATGGAGTAAATAAATTAACAATACATTTAATTGGTTTGTTTTCAGTTTTAGCTGCAAAGTTATGTTTAGCAAGGAACACATCTAGATGTCCTAGAACTATATTAATATGAAACATAATCAACATTTGGTTGCAAGAAAGGGAAAATGAATGGAGATTTACATTTTTCTAGTCCGTGTCGATGTGTCCTCGGGCAAGACACAAATTGCTCCTGTATGCTGTGCCTGCGGTGAATGTTAGTTCCTCCTGATGGGACTCTTCACAATAATACATGCAAGTAAATCCATGACATGAACTGGAAGGTCACGACGAGTTGGTATGGCCTGACCAAGCTGCAACGCTTGGTGGGAGTTATAAATTAACGTTACGTGCACGTTTTCAACATTAGTCTTTGCCTTTAAAGAGATAAAAGGTTTGATGAGAGTGATTAATTACTCCCTTCAGTGTACACGGAGCGAAGCTTTTGTCAGGAGAAAGAATGATGTGTGTACATATCGGATTGTATTCCGTGCACGTGACACCATTGATTGATTCATTTAATCAAGAAGTGGAGTGGCTCGTGTTGACTAACAATCCATTTGTTGTGGCAAAATGATGAGAAGAGATGTTGAATTGGAGTTGCAACCCAGCGGGAAGTGTTTTAATGAGCACACGGCAACATTCAGCAAAATCCAATGTATTACTTCTCACAAACACATGTTTAGTGGATCAGAAGACGGATTAGGATTTATATACTAGTATGAAATAGATTATGCCACACAGCCACACAGAGAAAAATTAATGAAAGTAGAAAGAAGACCTAATGAAACAATAGGATGTATTGATATTATGTCATGGAGACTTGCAAATGTCCCCATTTTGTTCCCAAAAAACAATGTGACTGTAATCAGCTTTTTGTCCCCACAAGATGGGCTATTCGCAAACACACACACCCTCATTTTTCAGCTCTTGGTTGATAAGAAAACTGACCTTTTCTCTCTCCTGTAGTTATTTGACCACGTAGCTGATTGCCTGGCTAATTTCCTGGAGAAGTTGGGCATAAAGGATAAAAAGCTTCCTCTGGGTTTCGCCTTCTCTTTTCCCTGCCAGCAGACCAAGTTGGATGAGGTGAGTGATTTAGAAGTTATTTTATCTACTTCAAGTATTTCTCAAACCATAAGTGTGAAACTTGGTTTCGTAGACAAACATTGGGGAAGTTTGTCAATATAGCATGCAGTGAGTTTTGTGAGAGAGAGAGAGAGAGAGAGAGAGAGAGAGAGAGAGAGAGAGAGAGAGAGAGGCTGGCCCCTCTGTCATAGGTTGTCGACCCCTGCTCTACAGTAGGTAGTATTGCTGTCTCTATCGATGGTAGCAGCAACGTGTTATTTGTTTGGTGACTAATACAGAAGGTCAGCTAAGTTAATTGGTTCACAAGTAGAAAGGCTGGCCTTCACAAACTCAATGAAAAGGAATCACAAGCAGCAAAATAAGCGTATTGCTGTTATATGACGGAGCTATAGAACAAAATAATACTGGAAACATTCAGAACCTATTTTTCAAAGTAGAAACTTTATTCAAACATAAGAAAGTTCAGCTGGAGCAAACTCCTTCTGCTCAATCATTCCGCTATAAACTCTGAAACATGTGAGACATCTTTCATACATTCTGGTTATTATGCTCTGAAGCTTAGTAAAATGCCCTTCTCACATTTTTACGTCGGTGTGTATTAGGGATGTTAATCATTTTAATAATGTATCTGTTTACCGACAATAAGAATTTTGACCGATGAATGCATTCAGTTTAACAGTTGAAATAATAAATTAAAACTTGGAGGAGCGGCTTGTCACTAAAATGAGAATAGCTGGTCCACTGTGAAGGTCAGCCTCGCTGAAAAGAAACGGGCAGATAATCTTGTTTTTACTCAGTCTTTAGTTTCCTATTTGCAGAGTGTTTTGGTGTCTTGGACCAAAAGCTTCAAGGCAAACGGAGTAGAGGGAAAGGACGTGGTCAGCCTTCTGAGGAAATCCATCAAAAAACGAGGGGTAAGTGTACAAAATCTAGTTTTCATGTTACTATTTACTGAAATAATAATAATATAATAATAATAAAACTTATTTATACAGTGCTTTTCACAGACAAAAAGTCACAAAGTGCTTAACAGAGCAGAAATTTAAAAGCATAAAAAACACAATGTGACCATAGGGCCAATAATTTACATACACACAGAAAAAAAAATTTTGAGTTGTTTTTTTAAAAGTGTTCACAGAATCTGCGAGGCGTAGAGTTGCAGGCAGAGCATTCCACATCCTCGGTGCCACTGCCTCAAAGGCTCGGTCACCACGGGTCTTAAATCGTGTGCGTGGAACTGACAGAAGACCTAAAGCGTTTGACCTGAGTGCGCGGGTGGGTGAATATGGGTGAAGTAGATCAGCTACATACTGTATGTAGGAGCCTGACTGTGAAGTGCTCTGTAAGTGATGGTGAGAATTTTGAAGTGGATCCTAAATGCTACAGGGAGCCAGTGAAGAGATCCGAGTACGGATGGAGATAATGCAAAGAAATGTAACCACCAAAGCTAAAAAACAGAAAAAGCAACCCATTATTAGTGTCGAATGCAGTGCGAGTATTAAATTTGAAAAGCTGCGAGATTACATGCCAGTTTGCTCGGAAAGCTCGAATTGACGCAAATATATGTCTGCATGAGTTGAAAATGTTTCAACGTGAGGGAAACGTCTGCAGGTTCTGTTTGAACACACATTGGCACTCACCAACAGCTTGGTTGTGGCCAATGTGCAAACACATCCAAATCAGGGGGATCAGTAGCCCTCTCAGAGCCCTGAGAGAATGAGGATTTCTCATAGCTCACAAATATTGATTGTGGCTTTCCAACCATGTCGTGACGAACTGATTTCATTTTTGATAAGTGAACATTTGCCAGCTTTTGCAACATCCCTTAGAGATGAGTCTGCAAACACAGCAGTGCAGGAGGTTGCCTTCTCCAACAGTTTCTGTCAGTTGGATGATGATTTACATGCAGATCCTTGCCTGGTGGGAGCGGAGCTGGAGCAAACGGCTGTTTGACTAGACAGAGGCGTCTCAACATGTGGATTTGGGTCTCAGACTCAGTCCAACACGAACAAGAAGAGCTCGTAAGAAAGTCAGACACGGACCACAAAATGAAAAAATACAAAGTACTTGTCCTTACTTAATAAGTATTTAATTCATACAGGAATATACAACATAGGCTTTACCGTGTGGTTATTTCATAATATAGACTGTTCATTTATTGAATTACCAGAGAACCTGCTATATTTTGATTTATATTATTCGAGACATGAAATGACCTACTGTATATCCAGGTAGAACATTTTGGCCATATCGCTCAGCCCTAATTAGAACAAAGGCGATCCTTCCACTGGTCCTAAACCTTGCTGGCCACTTGCTTAAGGTAAGACAGCAGTGTCTTGAAGTAATACCTCAAGTCAAGTATAGATGTGTTGGCCACCTCTGCAGGCACCTTGTGCGAGTGACGTGGGTAACGGCGAGGTGTGATGACACGTCGAGGATTGTGAAGTGTAGCCACAATGACCAAATTAGTGCTGCAGAATCAACGTCAAAACACAGGAAAACAGCCATGGATGTTTGCAACTCATTTTTACAAAAATAAAATCATCACTCTTGCCCACTAAATTAATTTCCATTTGTGTTACAGACAAGCTAATGGTAAGATGCTAAGGAACCATTTGTTTACATTAAAAACAAAGCCAGACTTCTAGTGTTGTATGGTCCAAATCTATGACCATTTTTACTTGCTTGAATGTAAGTACTAGTGACTTGAAATACTTTTAAATATTGCGAAAATAATGTATATTAACCTTATTTTATAGTTGGCCACAGTCCAGCAAAGGATATCTGTCAATCTAAAGTTCTATGACAAACCAAAAAAAAACGTTACGTCTGTGCTGATTTCAATGTATACAATTAAATCAAATGTCATTGCAGGACTTTGACGTTGACATTTTGGCTGTGATCAATGACACAGTGGGAACCATGATGACCTGTGGCTACGATGATCATCACTGTGAAATTGGCCTCATCGTGGGTGAGTCCAGTCTAACTGTGAAATCAAATAAGAAGGATTGGATAAAGTCACCACTTGTTTGCACACATGCCAGTTAGCAGAGCATTTGGATTCTGATGCTGGAAGACACACAACTTACTGAGCAGCATTTCAGGGAAAACAATGCACTGTCTTTGGGGATTGCCAACATTTGCCATGTTACACTGCCCATTGTGTAACTAATGTTGGTGGAGCAAACGTTACCATGTTAAGAGGCAGTGAAATAACCTCCCACCGGTGTAAAGTTGTGTTGAGACTTGGTGACTGTAAAGACCGTAGCACATGATTTACATAGTATTCCTTATTCAGATTTGTCTCCTGTGCTGCAAGCTACTATTCATTGTTTATGTGAGCATAACAGGTGTATAATGTGCAGATTGAAATAAAAATAAAAAAGAGCAGAAGTAAGGTAGGGAAGGTTAGATCCTCAGTCTAAGTCTTGACATGTGATAACATGTTACTAGTGGATTGTCCTCTTTGCTATAGTGTCATGGTGTTATTCCTGTTATATGTCAGACTTGGTGCTTGTATTAAATCACATATATTTTAACTTTACTATCCATACTAAAGAAATTCTTGCAGGAAATAGAGCAGCTCCTGGCAGTGCCATGAACATAGTAGTAGCCTTTATTGTGTTTTTGCATGTTTTACGTTTCTCCCAGTTTTGGATCAGCCAGTTCTTCCTGCACTGCTGGTCCTGTCACTGCTAACTCCCAGTCTCGTTCTGGGGAAAATTTGGACAGACTTGTTTTTCCTTGGATTCAGATGGGAGTTGCCAACTGCTTCTTTTAATCAGCCAGTTGGATCCCATTACCTTGCTGCACAGGTTTCTCATAGTGACGCTTCACATTACTGCTTTTAATAATCGTCAGTCTCTGAACACGTGAGACATACTGGTTTTAAAACCGTAAACTGCCCGTAGGAAGAATGAAGGTATACGAGTCTGTCCATTCTTGGTTAAAGACTCTGGTCTCTCTGACCACTGTACTCTTTTTGGAGAACGTCATGTGAAATAACTTCTCTGACTCACGCAATTCTCCCGCTCCTCGTTCTCTTTCCTCGTCTCCCCCTGTGTGTGTAAATCTCACTCGAGTCGGAAAACTTATCGGAATACACATATTTGATTGGCTGAGCTGCATCACGTGATATGATTTACAACGCATGCAATTGGTCGGGGTGTTTTTTTTTATAGCTCTGTCGTTAGATTGCAACCTTAACAAGCATGAAGCTTGTTTGCTGCTTGAGATTGTGAAGGACAGCTTTTTGTGAAAGTTGTTTTTACTTGTGAACCAATTATCTTAGGTGACCCTGTATTAGCCACCAAACAAATAACACGTTGGCGGTGCCATCGATAGAGACAGTTGGATTGGATGTAGAGGTCCTCCTGGCTGCTTCGTCCTGGTGATGTGCTGAGCCGTTTTTACCACCCTCTGTAGAGCCTTACGGTTGAGAGTGGTGCAACTGCATTTGGTGATGCAGTCTCTCAATGGTGCACCTGTAGAAGTATCCTGAAATTCATGCTAAACCTCCCATGCCTGCGGAGGAAGAAGAGCCCAGGTTTTACTGATACTGCAGTAAAATGTCGAATATGAACTACTTAGTAATGTTGGTGCTAACATCCCTTCCTTCAAGGAACGGGCACCAATGCCTGCTACATGGAGCACATGAGGAACCTTGACCTGCTGGACGGTGATGAGGGCCGGATGTGTGTTAATACAGAGTGGGGCGCTTTCGGAGACGATGGTTCCCTGGAGGATCTGCGCACCGACATCGACCGGGAAATAGATGCAGGCTCTCTAAACCCTGGCAAGCAGCTGTGAGTGTCTTTGAGCTTATTTTACCTGGTACAACATTAAACGTCCCTCAGTAGTGGCTTCACTTAACTCCGCAGCAGACAAGCATGCCTTTTATCTGTAATTTCTATTGTTCATATCGGTATATTCATGATATTTTAGTTGAGCCCTCCCTTTTGTCTGACCTACTCCTATTTCATTTTGCTGTTAATGTAAACTGCATACAATTTGTCTTGTTTAATTCGGCATAATGTACATTTCCACAGCATTATCACGCCATACTCGGGACTCTAACTCTGATTGGTCCTTGTAGCAGATGGATGCTGTTCTCATTGCAGCTTCATGTTCTTTCTCACTGTTACGCTTGTGTAAATGGAACACAACACATTCTGCTTGGGACTTCCATCAGTTCAGTCATTTGAAGGTTTTGTGTTTCTGGCTGTTAATTCCTTTTATCCATAGTTCTGCTATGGTTAGTACTTTACATTTATGTATTTTTGTGCTTTACTCATTGCTGTTATTCATACATTATTATTAACTACACTAAAGTAAGCAGTAGGTGGAATAATATCTCTATTAATTGTCTTTATCTAATATTGTTTAAGCTGAAGTACTTGGTGGAACCACTCAAAAAGAGGTTTAGTGTGAGATTCAACAGCATGTTGTCCACCCAGTCCATTCTTGTGAACGTAATATCTCATGTGGGATATTATCACCTGCTGTCAAAGGAAGATCAAGTAGAAAAAGGCTGCAACATGTGAAATGTATCCAGCCCTTTTTAGACTGACAAATATATCAGGAGGTATCCTTATTGAAACATCACTGATTTCATCAGAGTTCACCATCTGCTAGCTGCATCTGTGTTTGGTTGTGCATGTGTAGATACAGTTTTGGGGGCTCTGTTTAAGGTATGAATCTAACTCTTAAGGACGTGACAATAGTTTCTTGTGTTGGTGTACAGGTTTGAGAAGATGATCGGTGGGCTGTACATGGGGGAACTGGTGCGTCTCATCCTGTTGAAGATGACCAAAGACAAGCTACTGTTCCAGGGAAAGACTACAGCAGAGCTCCTCACCACCGGCAGCTTCAACACAAGCTACATCTATTCCATTGAGAATGAAAAGTTAGTGTTTGTGAGAGTCGGATGCAGTGATGACACAGTGTAAGAAGCAGATAAAAAGTGTCCAGTTAGAACTGAAAAGACGTCTTTAAGGTCTTCCAATGGTTTGTTTAACTTGGACCCGACATCTTATCACCAGGATGAATGAGATAACTTTACAGAGAGGGACAGCATGTGTTAGTCAGTGATTAGCAGCTTGACTAACTTAAATACACAAAGAACATGCTCACTAATGTTTCTGTTCTTACTGTCTTGTATGTTATATGCTAGGGCAGAAAAGGACTGAAAATATAAGTTTGCATTACATTTGAAGTCTTACTTGTAGGCCAGTGAAGTAGAGCAGTAGATGCAGGCGGGTCATGCTGTCAGCTCAAAATGCTGGCGGGCAGAAGGAACCACCATCCCTGTGATTAGACGATCCATTTCACCTCTTGAGCCACAGTCGCCACGTGTCCATTCATTCATCCATTTGTTTTAACTGCCGACACTGTTCAGAATCACAATAAGTAGTCAAAGTTATAGTATATATATTTGTATTCTGCTTTACCTGCAGGGGTGATGAAGGTCTGACGAGTGCGGAGAAAGTGCTCCGGGGCCTGGGTCTGAACCCGTCGGTTGAGGACGGCATAGCCACTCAGAGGGTGTGTCAGATAGTATCTACTCGAGCCGCACACTTGTGTGCTGCCACTCTAGGGGCAGTGCTGCGGCAGATCCGGGACAACAAAGCAGCCGAGAAGCTGCGTACCACTATTGGAGTGGACGGCTCTGTTTACAAAAATCATCCAGAGTAAGTGTCTCAACAAACACACTCGTAACCCACCTGTGAGGTGAGTGCACACTGGACCAGTATCTAGATTCATAAGGAGAGGTAATGAACAATAATAAGACACCACAATGAGTAAACCACACACAGAGTTAAGTTTAAAGCAAGATCATTGTAATGACACACATTTAATAGAACTACTTCACTATTGCCGGCAAACAACCTTATTCTGATTGAAATGTCTTTTGAAACTGGGTGCACCCTAAATACAATACAACATTTCTCCTCCCAAAAACAAGAAGAATGTTCTGTTCAATTGTTCTTTGAGGCCTCTCCCCTCAGTCCTACCACACTGATAGCTGGGCTGGTGAAGAATTGCAAGAGTCGTCAATTGAGAAATCCAGAATCCAATCCAGAATTCCAGGGTATCCAAAAACCTAGCATGTATAACATAACACTGCTTGTATAGCATATGCAAATCTATTCAAACTCTTCTAAACATTAATTACTCATTACATTTGAATAATGTTAGTAAGATAATGTGAACATACATTTCCCTGTCACAATACTGACCCCTCGTGCTTACTGCACAGCAGCAGCAGCACAGTAATGTACAGAATGAAGCTAGTTTCATAGAATATGAAGTTCAGCATTATAATTCCTTTTTCTCTTCATACATTATAAATAACACACACGGATACTCCGTATTACACACAAACATTCTCGTAATTTCAGTGTTTCTGCCGTTCTTTCTCCGTACTCCGCTTGCCGTCACATCAGACTGCGTCTCTCTAGCCTGAGTGAAAGAGGCGGTACTTGCGTTGTTTTGCAGCTATGGCAATCAATTATTCAACCTTGAACAAATAACCTTCATTGTTGTCAAGTTTCTTCCAATAGAACACTTACCAATGCAAAAGTAGAGCTCTGAGCTAAAACTAAATAATGAATTAAATACAGAATAAGATAAAGGGGAATAAAATAAAAGATGTGGTCATTTTTCAAATACAATAATGGTCAGTGAATGGAGATAATCCTGAATGTTACAGTAACTTTTTTCCAATGTGCTACACCCGCATACCGTATGAATAAAGCTTGTTGTCTCGGTATTCAATAAGCTGATGAATGCATGTCTGCTGAATAAAGTTGAATAGCACACAAAAAATGTCCATGAAAAACACTATATTCTTTCTTTGCTCTTCTTGTACTTTCAAGGCAGTCTATTGTAGGAATGAAATTCGAGGAAATGGACGGTCATGTGTTGATGGTGTTTGGACTAACCAGAGCTACAGTGCATGAGCTGTGTCTTTGAAGTCCTTCAATGTCGAGCAATGCTGGTGAAATATCAGAGCAACAAGCCTGTGATGCCGATTATTAGCAAAGATGTTGAGTTCATCAGCTTAATTAATAACCTCATCATTGAACAAACAAAATAGTGCTTACAGAAATCAATGGATGGGGATTCATTTTATAGGCCTTTTAGTGTGAGAGAAATTGCTTTATTTCCATGTTTCCTTGCCTGTCTGCTTACCTGTTGAATACTTGTGGTGCTGATGTTGTGCTTGCTTGCATCAACTGGGCAGCTGATACTTAACTGAAAAATAATAATTCAACAATTTTATTTATTTTTTACTTTATTGAGTTTGTTTGTTGAAGAGAAAAGGGATGACAGAGGCGATTGCAAAACAACACAGATATTACAAGGTGTATCCACTTGTCCTAGGTTTTCCAGGAGGCTCCAAAAGATGGTACGCCGACTTGTGCCGGACTGCGATGTGCGTTTTTTGCAGTCGCCGTGTGGCAGTGGGAAAGGTGCAGCAATGGTAACGGCAGTAGCCTACCGTCTTGCCACTCAACATGCTGAGCGTCAGCGCGTCCTCGACACCTTGCGTCTGAGCCGTGAAAAGCTGCTGGAGGTGAAGAAGCGAATGAGTGAAGAGATGTTGCGAGGCCTGTCAAAGCAAACCCATGAGCAGGCGAGTGTCAAGATGCTTCCCTCCTTTGTTAGAGACACACCAGATGGAACAGGTAGCTTTTAAAATAAAATCCGTTATTCCAGTTGACTTGTTGTTGAGTTGAGGTTTCTTTTGTCTATTGTGCTGTTATGTGTATGTTCAGGATTCTTGTCTTTGTTGCCCTCATCAGAGCACGGCGACTTCTTAGCTTTGGACCTTGGGGGCTCCAGCTTTCGGGTGCTGCTGGTGCGAGTGAAAAGTGGAAAGAGACACAATGTGGACATGCACCAAAAGATCTACAGTATTCCTCAGGAGACTATGCAGGGCACAGGGGACGAAGTATAAACCCCTCTTTTAATATTTGAAACTGGTCCTCTGACAAAAGGATTCTGATGACTGCATGATGCTGCATTCAGTTCATACAGATATGTAACTTCAGTATTCTCTTGCGTGCCAGCTTTTCAGCCACATCGTGTACTGCATCGCTGACTTTCTGGAGTACATGGGCATGAAAGGAGCCTCCTTACCTCTGGGATTTACATTCTCCTTCCCCTGTCATCAAAGCAAACTGGATCAGGTAATGTTTGATTCAAGATGTATTATAAGTGTAATACTAGCTATAATTTGTATCGCAACATATTGATTCTACCAGTAGTTTTGCATATTTTCCTGAACTTCAGGTGTGAATCACATAAAGTTGGCAGAAACAATATTGCCATATTGCCATCAGTGAACTATGGGAAGTGTGGTTCAGCTGATGACGACAATGAGAAGCTCTGCACTATTAAACTACACTCTGAATCACCAGCTCTTCAATTTCTAACCTCCAAAATAAGGTTTAAAGTCCATAAAAGAAACATATTTTGGTGAATTGTGTAAATGATTATGTCAGCTGCCATGCAAAGGATTTCAGTTATTTGAAATGTGGTTTGGCCAGTTACCTGCAAAGTAATCTTTGGTCTACAGAGCGACAATGGCCCTCATGCAAGAACCACTCGAGCAAACAGACTCGTACAAGCCATTCAAGATTTTAAATTCTGTAATTCTAAAAGTCTCACACACAAATCTATGTTCTCATTTCTTCAGGGCATTCTTCTGAAGTGGACAAAGGGTTTCAAAGCCAGTGGGTGTGAGGGACAAGATGTCATTACATTACTTAAAGATGCTGTCCACCGCAGACAGGTCAGTAAACGCATTACAAATACTTTGTCTCAACTTTATTGAGAAATGTGGCCTGTTAATGTTGACACAAGAAAAAGTACTCCCAAGAGGCTTAAGGCAATATACTAAATGGTCACACTGATCTTGTCTGTTTCCTCTAGAAATGTTTTTGAGTTCAGTTTTTCTCGATGTAGGTGCCATATTTGTATCCCTTAAGTTCATTGTCTACAGCTGTATTCTTTCTCCCTCTCTTATACCCTTTACATCTGAGGTTACAAACTGCCACAGGCAGCAAAGTATAACCTTTAGAGGGGACATTTAATCAGCTGTTCATTTAAAAGGACTGTCTAGTCAGGTTTCAGACTGAATGGTTTCATCTTAAACCAGGTTCTCTTTTGAATCTTTGCATAATACAGCATCTAGTTATGAAAATGTGTTTAAATTACATTATCGCTGTAACAGGGAGATGTAACTCTAAATCTATGACTTCTATGTGTTTTTTACCAGTAATCCTTCTTTATTATACAAGTCAAGAAGAGGTGCAGAAGTCTTGTTTTGTCTTACATCACTTGAATTGCAATATGCTGAAAGGTTATTGAATAGGGACCACGGACTTTTAATACGTAACGACTTATTACGATACATCTGATATTTCTAATTACAAACAATTGCACTACAACTGTGTTTCCAGTATTATAGATGTCAATCACTTTATCACTGCTTCCAGGAATTTGACTTGAACTTTGTGGCGGTGGTTAACGACACAGTGGGAACCATGATGACCTGCAGCTATGAGGACCCCGAATGTGAAGTGGGACTCATCGTGGGTAAGTCTGTCCCCCCCGTCCTCTATTTTTGCAATTTTTAAACATTATAATCAATTCACTATGAGCAAACATTGAGTGGTTTATGTTTTCACTTTGGAATGAAGCTCATCAAAGATTGGCGGATGTTTTCCTTCCATGTCAGTACTTGGATAAATACTTTTCCACATTTCTTTGACTCAGGCACAGGGACTAATGCGTGCTTCATGGAGGAAATGCAGAACATCGAAGTGGTGGAGGGCGATGATGGCCGCATGTGTGTCAACATGGAGTGGGGAGCATTTGGTGACAATGGCGAACTTGATGACTTCTGCACCGAGTTTGACCGCATTGTCGATAATTGCTCTAACTATCCTGGGAAACAGAGGTATTGGATTAGTAGTTTATGACATTATAAAATCAACTTTATGGCCATGAAAAACAACCAAAAAGTGCCAATACTCTCATCAAACAGCATCACTTTGTCATAAATAAAGTTAAAACTAATAAGCAAGAAGGTGCCAAGGACAGAGAGCACTGAGTAGCTTGAGAGTCCTAGACGCAGCCTCAAACTGGGTGTTAGTTAGTGACACTACTTAGTTGTTTGCCTGACGACTGGAGGTGCAGCTGTTGGTGTACAGGGAGAAGAGCAGAGGGGAAAGAACGCAGCCTTGGGGGGGAACTGGTGCTGATGGTCCGGGAGGCTGAGACGTGTTTTCCCAGCTTCACGTGCTGCTTCCTGTCAGACAGGAAGTTTGTGATCCACTTGCAGGTGGAGTTGGGCACATGCAGCTGAGAGACAGCTGATCAGCACAATGCTTCAGGGTGGAGGGGGAGACGGCGTCTGGGCTGGCTGCTTTGCGGGGGTTCTTGACTTTTAAACAGGCGTTGGACATCTCTCTCCAGAATAGAGAGAGTTGTCACTCTGAGGTACAGAAGCATGGGTCCCTGCTGAGCTGGGGGGGGGGGCCGCCATATCGAACCCGGGCCCCTCTTGCTGTGAGGTTGAATGCAGCTATCATTGATGTTATTGAATACACCTCCTACTATGAAGTGTAAAAAAACCAAAGGTCAATTAACCAACCTCTCTAACAACTGGGCTGCCAGTACGTCTTTGTTTATTCTCTTTTGTTCATGAAAATAAAGTCACTACAATAAATAGCTTTATAGTATGATAAAAATAGTAAATTATATTATTCATTTGAATATTGTGAATGTTAATGTGTTGCTGTGTGTCTTTTTCTCTAAGGTATGAGAAGATGATCAGTGGCATGTACCTGGGGGAGATAGTGAGGAATGTGCTGATAGATTTCACTGCTAAGGGCTTGCTGTTCAGAGGAAAAATGTCTGAGCGACTCAAGACCCGGTGCATCTTCGAGACCAAGTTCCTGGCACAGATTGAAAGGTGAGTATTACAGACTAGTCTCAGTAACCCTGTTCACACTTGGTCTTAGACACGTGTGGAGATGCGTTCTAATGCTGAAATTGTCTTAATGCCGAATAAATGGATACGGAGTGAATAAAGACAGTTATTCATCAAGTTAAAGTTAAATCTCAAATGTATTTGTGTATCCTTTCAGGGATATATTAAATGTACCTTATCAGTTCTCAAACACATTGATACACATACAACTGAAGAGTTGTGGGGGCTCAACCGCTCAAATAATCTTCAAGAGATGTCTACACAAAAGGAAGTGCTGTGTGCGCAGGGCTTACCGGTCTCATTATATGTGTGTTTTCATCTAAAATACAATAACCTCATGTTCTCAAGTTGCTGAAAGACAAATAAGGTTGCATTGAACGAGTCTCTGTCAGCAATCTGCTCAGGAAAGAAACAATGTCAGCACTGTTAGCAAAGTTAAAGTTAAACTCATTAACTGATTATATCAGTGCACTTATGGCCACATATACTTAAGTGTCTTTACGTTAAGATTAAAGTACTGAATATTGCATAAACCCATTGTTTTTAATGATGAAGTGCAGTTTAACAGTGTTTTAGTCTATATAACACAACAGCATTCAACCTACAGTAAAATCACCCATTTGAAGCAAGTTGAGTAAATTAAAATGATTGCTACACAGAAAGTCCATCACACACCCTGCGTGTTAGCCATAGCCATCTCTTTGACGCGTATAACCCTAATTCTCTCTGACTCCAAAGTGACCGTCTGGCCATGCGACAGGTCCGCTCAATCCTGCAGCACCTGGGCCTCACCAGCTCCACGTGTGATGACAGCGTGCTGGTGAAGGAGGTGTGCAGTGTGGTCTCACGCCGCGCCGCTCAGCTCTGTGGAGCTGGTTTAGCCGCTGTGGTCGACAAGATACGACAGAACCGCAACCTGAATCAGCTGTCCATCACCGTGGGAGTGGACGGCACCCTTTACAAGACGCACCCTCAGTAAGGAGCAAACGTGTCCCAACACGAGTACTAAGCAGCTTGACTTTGACTTAAGCACAGGAGGTCATCCTCCTGGATGGACCACATGCAGAAGCATGATGACATTTTCAAGTTTTCTTCAATTTTGAGTTTTACAGCCACTTAATGTTCATTTATTCTTTACTACCAAGCTACCAAGTTTGCATCAAATATCAGAGGATTTTCATGTAACCCTGGTTTCCCCCCCTCCCTCACTCTTCCTTTAGTTTCTCCAGCATCATGCAAGAGACGTTGCAGGATTTGGCACCGCAGTGCCAGGTGACTTTCCACAAGTCAGAGGATGGAAGTGGGAAGGGAGCAGCGCTGATCACAGCCGTGGCCTGTAGGATGAAGAGTGAAGGGCAGCACTGAACCGCCACGACTGGGGTGGACGGGTAGAACCAGAGCTACAACTACTGAGTTCACCAACATATAGTTACAAACAAGTTGGTTAGTTTAGATCTTTAGTACTGAAATGTTTAATCTGACTTATTTTGTGTGTGTTTCCACGTACACAAATGTGCATGTTAACTTTTTGTTTGTTTTTGGAATAAATATTTATTGTATTAGCTGACATTGCATGGGACGGTGGAGAATGATTTCAGTTTAGCTTGTGTGTTAGAGAAGATGCACCTGCTGTGAAATAGGACTGTTACGAGATGTGGAGCTGTTCTTTTTTCTTTTTTCACACTCCCTCCTTTTTTTATTTGCAACTTCTAAGCTGCAGGTTTCCAGCCGGCTGACTTCATTTTTTTATAATGAATAGAACGTCTGTCATCTGTGTAGAGACTGTAGCTTGGAAAAGTTTATTTATACAGCAACTTTTCAAGATCTGAAGTCACAAAGTGCCTCACAATAAAAGTCAAAAGCAAGACATGAATTAAAGGAAGCTGGAAAGGACATTGTGTATCTTAACTTGGAAATGATCCGATCTACAAATTGAACCCTGTCTGCATGATTTTTGTGTTTAGAATACTTTGTTCTATAATGCTTTTCTTATTTGGGCTCTGTAGTAAGAATGATTAAACTTGAGATTTGAATTGAAACTCTTCTATGAAGTTGTAAACTTTTACTTTATTCTTGATATCAACTTTCCTCGTGCAAGTATAAACCATTTAAAAAGGTCATACAAAATAAATGTGTTACTCTCCATCTCTTCACTCTGGAATGAATGGATTGGGTAATTGAGTCAAAGCTTAATCATACAGTATGTTTCTTTTAGTCACACTGTTAATTTCAGAGACCCTTAACTGCCTGCCTGGAGGGGCGAGTTGATTAAACAGTGATCAGAAAGTAAAGGGCACGGCTTAGTAGCTCTCTTGGGTCTGGTAGTTGGAGGGAATACAAAAGGTTAAAGAAGATTCCTGCCTTCACCTGAATGTTAAAAAGACTGTTTGTATGTTCTTCACAAAGAGGCCTTGCAAAGTGTCACTGGAGCCAGATGTTTATGTTGCTGGTGAGAGGCTACAGGTAGTGTCAGATTTTAAATATTTAGGAATTTTTATTGATTCTAATCTCTTTTTTAAAAAAACAGGTAAACATGTGACAAATGTCTTAAAATTTAATCTCATGAATTTTAGATATATAAGACTAAGTAAATCTACATTCTCTGTGAAGGCAGCTCACTGGTGGAATGCTCTGCCACCACACATACGCACACAAAACGCATACAAAACATTCAAGCATAACTTCAAGGAATGGCTTGTTGCCAATCAGGTGTGCCAGCATTGATGTGCTGTCTGTCCTGCCTGCTTATTTCGCCTATATGTGCATTTGTCTTGTTCAGTGTTGCTATTTTCCATTTTTTGATGTGTATGTTATGTGCTTCAGTGTTATGCGTATATGTGCTTGTCCTGTAGGTGAGTCTGTTCTGCGTGACGCATGCTGAAGCCTGTTATGTCTGCTCTGCTTTAATGTCGTACACTTTTCTTTTGCTGTGTATTGGTTTTGTCTATACGTTGCTGTCCGTTTCTCTATGAACTTTAATTCCGTTTCAATTTGACATTTTGTTATTTTAGGCTGCCTTGAAACATCTGGCCGGGGACAGCAGATGGAAATGAGCCTCTGTGGCTCACTTACAGTGCAACTGTTGATTAGTGTGCATTGTCCCTGAAAAATAAATAAATAAAGAAGAGATTGTCTCTTCTCTACACACTAAGTGTCTGCAGCTTCAGAGAGATATTTCAGTACAATTGTATTTCAGTACAAAGCCATTTTCCTGAATTGTTTTATTAAAATCATAGACAACTAACATCCTATAATCACTACAATCTATCCTTGTTTATGGAACAAATAATAATCACATTAGTAATGACTGTATCCAATGGCATTATTTTACCCCACTGATGACACCATAATGTTGGAGCAGCTTGATGTGCTCTGAAACTAAAACTCAGTATCTCCTTAGAGAATTAATTCAGCCAACAACAGTTTGTCCGCTTTGTCACTTAGATACAAGCTACAGCTACAGCTGTTTTACTAATCTGGTCATTATTACTCTACAGTGTCATCAAACAAAGATTGTCACCATAAACTTGAGCTGCTGTTGGTCTTTATTCAGTGGAAGTCACGTTTTGTTCTACTCAGATTGGCGCTCAAATAGATTCACAGGGAACCGCTCTCAGCATGCCTCACATTTTCACGTCGATGTGTTCTCCATTTAGTGCCCTTGTTTATTTCCTTACTTTTTCTTTCCACATCACCTCCATGTTCCACTGTGCTGCCTCCCCCAACTCTACCACAGAGTAGAACAGATGAACAACTGGAAATGTCCAGCTACCGTTGCCTTTACTGCCGGCTGGTGCAGCAGCAAACCCACTGAAGCCAAAAAGGCGGCTCTGCAGTGCAGTGTTTTAGCCTCGTTTAGTTTTTTCTGTTTGTTTGAAATGCATTTCATTTTCATTACTACTCTTGGATGATGTGTTGTGCTAAGAAGACATGTAATCCATTGTGCCAATCCATTTTCTCTCCAACGTGCTCATTTGATGGTCCATCTGGTGCAGCAGCAGAGTGGCAAACGGATTCCAAATCCATTTCCAAACATCCCTGTGTGGCGATACTGTACATATCAAGTGGATTGATGCCACACAGTTGGCAAGTTTGACGGATGGATATTATTGAATAACATTGTCTGACAGCTTTTTTTTAATCACAGTTTATTTTTTTACAAATGGTGAGGGATAATGACGCCATGGTAGACAAAGTCAAAGTCAGCTTTATTGTCAATTTCTCAATATGCACCGAACATACAGAGGAGTTGAAAAAAGGAGAGTAGAGAGTAAAGTCTCTGTGTGAACATAGAGACTTTACTCTATGTTCACATTCAGTATAATTTCACACTGGTGGAATTTTATTTATTGTGCTGCTTTATATAGTTTATTTGTTGTCATGTGGTTGTTTTTTTTATCTGCGAAAGGACAACAGATGCAAATTAGCTTTTAGTTGAACTCCCCACTGACGTTCATTTTTGTCTTTGCCATGATCTTTCTGGAGCTGTCTCATCACCACCTACAATTGATTTGGATGTTTTGCAGTTTTAGAGTAGCTCCTGCATTTCCTTGTGCATTGCATTGTGGGACAATAGAGTACCTTTTCTAGTATGCATTCACAGTATTTTTGAGTATAATTACTTTTGTCATTTTTTAATAGTAAAATGAAGACAATAGAACTGGGACACAGACTCAGCGTTTGTGTCCCCTATGTGTGTCACTTAGCATTAAACTGTTTAACTGAGGCGGATGGGATTGTTATTATTTTTGCAGGTATTTAGTAATAAAAATTAGTATTTGACAAACTAAAAATTTGACCTGATGACAGAGCTAGATGAAAACTTAACAGATCATCGGATTTAATAAAATTCATCCTGAGGAGAACACAAATATATAACTGTTGTGCTGTTAAACACACAGTTCTTGTCTCTGGAAATGAGGCTCTGTCTTTTTTGCAAAAAACACATCATAAGTGGCATCATCTAGGGTTCTTCATCTTTCCTTCCCTGGCCATGATTATTGTGAAATTATTCAGAAAAAAAATAAGAAAAATATATTTTGCGCATGTGAAGCATCTTGGCGTTTATTGCCAGAATATGAATCCACATTGTGTAGCTCAACAAAACATCAGTGAAGACAACCAACTCTTACTTAAACAGCAATTGAAACAAACCCTAAAGTCTTCTAATGACCTCTAAATTTACTATGACCATACATGTCTTGGCACCGCAAAATATGCACCATCTCTCCACAAACACATGCTTATGAGAGCGAGAACACTAATGCCTCTTTAAAATCCCCTTACACTTCTGGCTTGCAGGCTGGTGGGAATATGATGTGTTGAATCAAACCTCCCTCACACACACCTTAATTAGAATGAGACGTGGGAATAATCTCACAGGAGGCCTTCACATGCTGCCATAAAGTGTTAAGTGGGGATATAGTTGCAGGAGGGAATTAGTAGTTAACTTCTACTGTGGAGATTCATTTAGAGATAGTATATTAATGTACTTTCCTTGAGTGCATTTACGTTATGCTACTTTATACTTCTAAAGCCCTACAGTTTAGAGGGTTACTCCACTACCTATTGACGTTAGGGGCTACTTTTCAATTCAAGATTTTCAGATGTCTATGAGTTGTTATGAGGAGGTTAGCGGAACGTTAAGCTAAACTATTAGCAACATTTTCTCTCCATCTCTGAAACGCTTTGCCGGTATTGTACAGCTACTATTTATCGTCTCAATTGTATGCAATATAAATAATTGCACCCAACAAAACAGCAAGACCACATTGTCGATGAGTAACTCTAACCGACTACTCTGAGCTGATTTGTGTTTGCCTCCAGTCTTTCCTTTGTTTTGCCTCTAACAGGTCATCGTGGTGTTTTCTGTAAAAGGGTCTATATTCTTCCACCCTCCTATTTGTCAGTAGGGTAAGCAAAACATTAGAAACACAATTACTCAATGTAATTCAATTCAATTTATTTTGTATAGTCCAAAATCACAAATTTACCTCATTACACTCTGTACACAGAGAAGAAACAAAGAAGGAAGAAACCTGAGGGAGAGCAACAGAGGAGGGCTCTTTCCCCCAGGGTGGACAGAAGTGCAATAGATGTCATGTGTACAGAATGAACATAACAGAGTTACAACACATGCAATTTATGAATCTAATTATTCATATAATGAGAGTAGAAAGCAGAATCATGATGGAAAAATTACGACTACTGATAACAGCATAATGATAATGGCAATAGCAATGCGACTATTACTAATAATAATGAAAGTAGCTGTGGGTGTCAGGCAGGACCACGGCAGGAGGCAGGACCAGGGTCCAGATATAACCACGATCCACGGAAACCTGTGAGGCGAGAAAGCACAAAGACTCCGGAGAAGAAGCCAGAAATGTATTCCAGTTTGGCAAAACAGCAGGCTGCAATCTCATTAATAAACATACAGTTCAATTACCTCTTTGACACTGTCAACCAAAGTGATTATTATCTTTGTAAAGGTAGAATTTATGGCAAAGATGATGTTTTAGATTGCATTAGATCTTTCAAGTGTACTAAATAATGTGGAAACTGGCAATATATTTCCAGTTATGTTCAGTGGCTGAATAAAAGGACGTGCCTCTGTGTTTCATTTGAAGAATTAAATCATCTTTAAATCCCTCATTACAATAATAAAAGATCCAAGTCTTGTAGATAATGAAAAGGTTTTCACAAATGTGATAAAAAAAAAGAACTACGTCACGGTTGTATGCCTCCGCATGTCTGTCCAAATTGTTTTCACTTTATCATTTTATCCTGTTATGGCCCAACATGTTGTGTGAGATCACATCGACCTTTGACAGTTTATCCTTGTGTCCAAGTGGACAGACAGACTTTTAGCGGCACTAAGCAACAATAACATCATTGTTTCATGGTCTTCGGTTTTGTTTAGTTTGTTTCCTGTTGTCTTTTGAAGTCCACTCCTCATGTGCCATGTTTGGTTGTCTTATTTGCCTTGCGTGTTTTCCCGCCTTTGTTGATTGTCTACCCCGCCTTGATTAGTTTCACACCAGTCCTCCTACTCAACTGTTCGCATTCCCCCATGAGTCAGTCCTTCAGCCTGCTATTCAGCCTCCATCTCAGTCTGCTCCCCAGTCAACCAGCCTTCAGTCTGCAAGTTTAAAGCCTGCTAGCCACCAGCCCTCAACCTGGCTTGCTAGTTG